GGGCGGCCCCTTGCCGCCCTTGCTCGGCCCGATGCCCGGAATCAGATTCTCCGGCGTCTGTGCCGGCGGTGGCAGCCCCGCCAGGTCTATTCCCAGCTCTGGCATGGCCTCGATGATCTTCAACACGTCCATGGGCTTGCTGTTGGGGGGAGGGGTGGGGGAAGGGGGAAGGGGGAGGAGAGGGGGGGCAGGGGAGAGAGACATTGGATCAAGGTGGAGAGGGCAGGCAGCCCCGCCAGGTCGATCCCCAGCTCTGGCATCGCCTCTATCATCTTCAACACGTCCATGGGCTTGCTGCACCGGGGAGGGGAGTGGAGGGTTGAGCATGGGAGACGAGGAACAGCAGGTGGAGACACATGAGGACAGCCCCGCCAGGTCTATTCCCCGATCTGGCATTACCTCTATCATCTTCAACACGTCCATGGGCTTGCTGCATGTGTGGGGGGGGTGGGGGGGAATGGGGAGAGGCTGGGAGAGGGATCAGGAGGGGGCAGCCCCGCCAGGTCGATCCCCAGCTCTGGCAGGCATCGCCTCTATCATCTTCAACACGTCCATGGGCATGGGCTTGCTGAGGTGCGGTGGGGGAGGCAGAAGAGGGAGAGCAAGGGGAGAGGGGGAGGGGAAGGGTGAGTGGGACAAGGTGAGTGATAAAAAGGAGGTGGCGGCCCCGCCAGGTCGATCCCCAGCTCTGGAAAAAGGGGGGGTGGAGAGGGGACGAGGGGTTAGCATGGAGAAAGGAGGGGCAGCAGGTGAAGGGGCATGAGGGGCCAGCCCCCTTCAGGTGTATTGTATCCCCAGCTCTGGCATGGCCTCTCTATGATCCTCCACACGTCCATGGGCTTGCTGTTGTGGGGTGTGAAGGGGGAGGATGGGGACGAGACATGCAACGAGGAAGGGGTCGGTGGGGGTTGGTTTGGGTGCGTAGGTGGTGGTAAGAAGACGATAGGAGAGGATAGGATGACGTGGGAAGGGACGGGGAGGGGATGCGAGACAGGTGAGTGCGGTTTTGAATGAGCCTGTCGTCCTGTTGTATCACCGCCGCCCTGCACTGCCCCGCTACTACACGCGCCCACCTGTTATTGGCCACTGGCCAGCAGCTGCCTGAAGTCAGCCTCCAGCATAGCATGCCCATCGCCTCCTTCATCAGTCCACGCGCCTGCAGAGCAGGGGAGCTGCATGCCCCTCGGCCTGTCTGCTATCGTGACTGCCGTGCTAGCACACACCACACCGCCCCTACGCACCGCACACCACCCACCTGTTATTGGCCAGCAGCTGCCTGAAGTCAGCCTCCAGCATGCGCATCGCCTCCCTCACCAGCCCACACGCCTGCAGAGCAGCGCCTCGGCCTCTGCCTCCTGCTGTCACTGCCTCTATTGTCACACAATTGCTACATTCACTCGCGCCCACCTGTTATTGGCAAGAAGCTGCCGGAAGTCCGCTTCAAGCATGCCCATGGCCTCCTTCATCAGCCCGCGCGCCTGCACTGAGGGGCCCTTGCTGCAAGCTCCTTCCACCTGCCACTTGCTCACCATCAGGCCTGTGCTCCCACACGCCACACCACCCACCTGTTGTTCGCCAGCAGCTGCCGGAAGTCAGCTTCAAGCATGCCCATGGCCTCCTTCATCAGCCCGCGCGCCTGCAGAGCCGCGCCCTCTGACGACTTGTAGTTGCGGTGCGAGTCGAAGAAGAGCAGCGCCTCCTGTAGCATGTCCACCGCTGCTAGATACGCCTCCAAGTCTCTACGCGGACCATCCTTGATTCGTTGCTCCACCTGTCATGGTCATTCATTGGAAGGCGGGAAAGGGAGGACGGAAGAGGAGGACTTGTAACTGCGGTGGGTGGGAGTGGACGAAGAAAGAACAGCAGCGCCTGCAGAGCAGAGCCGCGCCCTCAGACGACTTGTAGTTGCGGTGCAAGTCAAAAGAACAGCAGCGCCTCCTGTAGCATGCCCACCGCTGCTAGATACGCCTCTAGATCCCGCCGAGGGCCGTCTTTGATGCGCTGCTCCACCTGTGAGTGGGAGGGGTAACGCAGACGGGAAGGGAGGACACAGAGCGAGGGTGGCAGTTGCTGCGGTGCGAGTCAAAGAAGAGCAGTGCCTCCTGTAACATATCCACTACTGCTAGATACGCCTCCAAGTCTCTACGGGGCCCGTCTTTGATGCGCTGCTCCACCTGCCGGTGCAAGGGAGAGGTGACGCACATGGGATGGGTGGGTTGAGAAGAGGACGCAGACGACTTGTATTCGCCATGAGAGTCGAAGAGGAAAAGTGCCTCCTGCAGTGCAGCATGTCCACCCCTGTCCACAGCAGTGCAGCATGTCCACCCCACCGCTGCTAGGCACCGTTTCTGAGACAGCCTGCTGCTGCTAGGTTCGCTTCGCACAGACCCCCCTGGGGTGCAGTGCAGCGCAGCGAGGTGCGCTTGCTTGCAGGGCAGGCGTGCGGTGGACCGTCCGTGCTGCGCCGCCGCTGCTCTGTCGCTGCTCCTTCCTTGACTCTCCTAGCAGCCCGCCGCCCCTCCTGCCATCGTTTCACACACCGCCCCACCTGCTGCTAGGCTGGACTGGACCCAGCAGCCCACCGACCCATCCCACCTGCCCACCAGCAAGCTTACCATACCATACCATGGCAGCTGCCCACCAGCAAGCTTACCATACCATACCATCCCAGCTGCCCACCAGCATGCATACCATACCATCGCAGCACGCCCAGCCCGAAATTTCCCCGCACCGTCTCCACTCCACGCCGCTGATAACACCAGCATACCAAACCGCGTATACAGGTTGGGACCGTTTCACACACCGCCCCACCTACAGGCAGCCCGCCCTCCCCCACCTGCTACTCCCCCCACCCGCTCATTCCCTCCCCAACCTGCTACTCGCCCCACCCGCTCATTCCCTCCCCAACCTGCTACTCCCCCCACCCGCTCATTCCCTCCCCAACCTGCTACTCCCCCCACCCGCTCATTCCCTCCCCAACCTGCTACTCCCCCCACCCGCTCATTCCCTCCCCAACCTGCTACTCCCCCCACCCGCTCATTCCCTCCCCAACCTGCTACTCCCCCCACCCGCTCATTCCCTCCCCAACCTGCTGCGGACTGCCCAACTTGTCTCCAAGGCACGGATACCACCCTCGCTGCTGCACTGCTGCAGTCTGTCCGTACCCACCACCATGCCCACACGGTCCCACCCACCGCCCCACCTGCCACTGCCCCCCCCCCACCTGCTGCGGAATGTCGAACTTATCGAGCACTGTCTCCACAGCACGGATGGTGGCGTCGATGTTGGCATGCGCCTTGCGGAAGGCCAGCGTGCGCGCCTGCGGAGAGCGGGGAGGAAGGGGGGAGGAGATTGGGGGATGGGGGGATGGGGGGATGCGGGGTTGGGGGATGGTTAAGATGGGTGGAGGCGTCGATGTTCGCATGCGCCTTGCGGAACCTGCGCGCCTGCCGCATGGGGGGGTGGAGGAGGGGAGGGATGGGGTGAGGATGGATGGGTGAGGAAAGGGGGGGGCATGGGTTCCTGGGACCTCCGCGTTTGGGAGGACGCGGGCAGTTTAGGGTAACGGGATTTGTTACAGGTGCGAAGATGGGTGGATGGTTGCAGGGTCTATCTATAGAGCGATTTACAGCAATGCGTCGTTGTAAGCAGGCACTATCACTTGCTACCCGTACCTCACGCCCTCATGAGCCATGCCATCGCCCCTGTGTAACACAATTCCTCACTCGCACCCGCATGCGACACCGTGCGACCCGCATGCGACACTCGCGGCGTCGCACCTGAATGGGTCGCATGGCGGTTTCGAGGTTGGTGAGGCGCGCGTCGAAGGTGTTGAGAATGGTGATCATCTCCTCGCTCACCGCCTTGCTCTTCCCCAACACCTCGCGCAACTGCCCCGCCTGCGTGTTCAGCCGCCGCACTTCCGCCGCGGAGATCACCACGCGCCGCCGCGCCGGCTTTGTGACCGTTGACGGCGCCGCTGGGGACTCGTGGTGGTCGTCGTCGCGCCGCGCCTGATGATGCTGGCGCGCCGCGGCGCGGTTTGACGCAGGGTTGCCGCCGCGATTCATGACTGCCGTGTCGCGGTTGTATTAACTTTCAGGGTTATTTAAATACTTATGCGCGTAATGCCTTGTTCGTCCTTCCCACCCGTAGGTTCTGCGGCCTCCGGTTGCAACACGTTTCGCTCCAGCACAACTCGTTAAGAAGTTTAAAACGGCGCTGCGAGACCATCCAGTTCGCAAAGATGGTTCTTTTCTTTAGTTCACTAACGCACGACGTAGGGTGGCTGATAGTCCAATAGTTACTGCAACGAACGTAGGATGATGCCACGGCGGTACGACGCGCGAAATCGGGGACACGTTTGGACACAATTTATCTAACTACCGCGTTATGAGCTAGCGCGACGCGGAAATTACCTAGAACTAGTCAAATTGACCGTTCACGCGCAGGTGAACTGGTTGTTCGTCCGTCGCACTCGCCTCGCACCACACCAGTTTGGCAGCAATAGCAGTGCAGGTATGCCTGATTGTTGCGATACCGCACGACAATCGTGTGCGATGATGGCTCACTCTGGGTACACCTCACTCGCTGGAAACTCGAAACTGACTCGAGGCGAACAATAGGCGACTTCTTGTACGGGGAACCCGAAAAACCAAGTGTTACAGTCACATTAATCTGTAGGAATGCGCTCACTCTCTGCTAAATTAGGTTTGTTGGTAAGGGTGCATCTACTGAGGGAACCATGGTTGCAAAACTGCCTTTGAGCTCTAAATATAATGGCAAAACCGTTTACCACTAGAATAGAATTTTCATTGGGTTTTCTATACTGAAGGCTCGTCAAGTAACATACGAGTCACTTTTACCACTCTGGAACCTGGCATCTATCCGAGCAAACTCCTCTTCCATGCTTCTCATGGGTGTAACCTCCTGCATCTGCCTATCCACCTCCTCCGCCGCAGCGTTCCTCCTCGACCCCCCTAACTCCGCCATCACCGCACTCAAACCAGGTCTAAGCGAGCGTACGAGTCACTTTGACTACCTTGGAACCGGGCTTCTATCCGAGAAAACTCCTCTTCCATGCTTCTCATGGGTTTAAACTCCTGCATCTGCCTATCCACCTCCTCCGCTGCAGCGTTCCTCCTGGATCCCCCCAGCTCCACCATCACCGCACCCAGCTCTGCTGCGATTGTGCCCATGTCCGGCCGGGCGGCAGTGCGCCTGGCAGTACACCGCAGCGCCAGCCGCACCACGACCAATAATAGGTCGTCCCGTGCTTCCATGCGTGGGTCCTGGAGGCCTGGTGCTAGCCTGTTGGCTGAATGTTGGAGCTGCTGCTCCACCTGATGGGATGAGGATTGAATACAGGGATCATCGAGGCAGAGAGGTGCAAAATCAAGAGTTTGAAGGGACCAAGACAGAAAAGCACAAAACTCTTGATGAGCTGGAGCGGATCACTCCAGCTCCGCCATCATCGCGCCCATGTCCGGCCGGGCGGCAGTGCGCCTGGCAGTACACCGCAGCGCCAGCCGCACCACGGCCAGCACGAGGTCCTACCGTGCTTCCATGCGTGGGTCTAAGAGGCCTGGAGCTGGGCCGTCACCGGATTGTTGGAGCTGCTGCTCCACCTGATGGGATGGAGAGGAAGGGCTCGGGAAGTTAGATATAAAAATCCTAGGGCTTGAGGGCAGCCGCACCACGGCCAGCACGAGGTCCTCCCGTGCTTGCATGCGTGGGTCGATAAGGCCTGGGGGTGCGCCGTTGCTGGATTGCTGGAGCTGCTGCTCCACCTGATGTGGAGAGGAAGGGTTCGGGGGAGGCAAAAGAATAAGAAGCTGCGCTTTGAGGGCAGCGGCACCACGGCCAGCACAAGGCTGTCCCGGGGCAGTGTGCCTCCTCATCAGCAGTGGATGGAATCCATTGCAAAGCATGGTGCAGCTTTTAAACTTAGTTTGCTGAAAAGGCACATCGAAAGAACAGCAACTCACCCAGGAGACGATGGTCACGGGACAGCTGGCCTCCTCATTAGCGCCCGGGAACACCACTGGAAGTTTCGACTCTGTTAGCAAAAACTTACTTACGTCCGACAAATAGCAACTCACCCAGGATACGATGGTCACGGGGCAGTGGGCCTCCTCGTCAGCGCCCGGGGCTAGCGACTCCTGCACAGCTGCCCGCCCTGTCATTAGCTCCAGCATCACCACGCCAAAGCTGCACATGCAGGTGCTCAGTACAAATAGAGTGTTCGATACAGGTTTCCCGGAAGTGCAAGGCTGTTGCACACCTGCACACCATTGACCCTGCCGCCCCGTCATTAGCTCCAACATCACCACGCCAAAGCTGCACATGCAGGTGCACAGTACGGGAGTGCAAGCACGTGGAAGCAACACTTCAAGTGATGGTCAAGGCAGGCCCTTGTTGAATTACTTCCAAATCAGTGTCACCGCTCTCCTTGTGTTGCATGGGGATACACTAAAAAAACGGCTTAAGTGCTCGATACAAGCTTCATGGGAACTTGCTGACTTTTGCTCATCTGCAGACCGTTGCTCACCTGTACACATCAGCGGCGATGGTGACCTTATTGGAAGCGACATAAGCGGGGTCTACATAGCCCGGTGTTCCCACCACTCGTAGGCCCTGCACTGCCATTGCTCACCTTTAGACCATTGCACACCTACAAACACCGTTGCTCACCTGTACACATCTGCGGCAGTGGTGGCCTTATTGGAAGCGACATAAGCGGGATCCACATAGCCTGGTGTTCCCACCACTCGTGTGCTCTGCAGTCCCGTGCCCTCTCCCTTCCTCACCAGCCCAAAGTCTGAAATCTTAGCCTGCAGTGCACATGGCATATCAATGTATGATCAGATCATGCACATGCTGCAATGAACATGCTAACTGTCAATAAACTTTCTGCTCTACTTTTTGACACATGCTTGTGAGCATACATGCTTGTGAGCATACATGATTCAACAAGTGTGGGCGGGCATTCGAGGCACATTTTCCTGCATGATCCCATCCAAGATGATGCTGGCTGGCTTGATGTTGCAATGCACACAATCACACACACAAACACACGCACGCGCACCTGCATGTTTCCACCCAGCAGGATGTTGGCGGGCTTGATATCCCGGTGCACGATGCCAAAGCTGTGCAGGTAACTCAAAGCCACACACACCCCCCACCTTCACCCCAACACACACCCACACGCGCACCTGCATGTTTCCATCAAGCAATATGTTGGCGGGTTTGATGTCACGATGCACGATGCCAAAGCTGTGCAGGTACTCGAACCCCCGCGCAGCCCCTATCATGATGTCCACGCGCTGCTGGAAGGTCAGCGGCGTGGGGGTATCTGAAGGGCACACGTGATGGGGATGGGAGGTAGCAAAGGGAAGGGAGCCAGGGAGTATATATGTGTGCGCTCGTGTTTGATAGCTCAAGGGTACTCAAAGCCCCGCGCAGCCCCTATGAGGATGTCTGAACGCTGCTGGAAAGTCAGCAGCGTGGGTGCGTCTGGAGGGCCCATGTGCCATGGATGGGTGGGTGGGTGAAAGGGAAGGGAAGACAGTAAAGGAAACCATTAGGTGTCTTCTCATTACATGCATCAGGGATGGCATAACTTAATGATGGCCGTGAGCTTGTAGATGAGAATCTGCTCCACACGGGCCTTGTCCGTGATGCCTATGGCGTGTTTATAGTGAACCCAGAACACACCTCTTGATTCAATACAAAGCACGAGCCACACCCTTGCTTAACCACACCTTTGCCCATCCAGTGTGGGAGGTCCCCATGCGGCATGAGCTCGTAGATGAGAAGCTGCTCCACACGGGTCTTGTCCGTGATGCCAATGGCGTGTTATGACCCGACTCAAGACACACCAGTTGAATCAATCAATCACAAAACAATCCACACCTTTGCCCATCCAGTGCGAGAGGTCCCCGTTGGGCATGAGCTCGTAGATGAGGACCTGCTCCACCCGGGTCTTGTCCGTGATGCCTATGGCGAATCCCAGCAGTCGCACCAGGTTGGGGTGGTGCTTCGAGGCCATTTGGCATACCTGCCAAGCGGGGCAGCAGTGGAAGAAAGGTACCGTACCGCACACACACAAACACACACACACCCTCTCATGATCCAACAGACCTTTGAGTCGACTCAAATTCACCAGCTTGGGGTGGTCCTTCTAGGCCAGCTGGCACACCTGCCCTGCCAATGGGGGCAGCAGTGGAGGAACGGTAAAACACACGTGCTCTCACAATATGTTGCCCGTCTCATCCTGCCTTGCCTCGTGAGCCACAGCGCAAGGTCCCTGGGCACTGCTTCACACACCCACTCCCTACCCAGCACATTCGCCTACCACACCACACCGCACCACACCACACTACACCACACTACACCACACCACGCATACCTCACCTCAGTATCAAAGTCGTTAGTAATGAGCTTGGCGCGCTTCACAGCCCACAAAGTGGTGCCATCAGCGGGAGACACAGCGCGGTACACGTCCCCAAACGCGCCCCGCCCAGCAGATTCACCTCAAAGGACTCCAAACCACACCACTCCACACTGCACCACACCGCACCACACACACCATATCACACCACACCACGCATACCTCAGTGTCAAAGTCGTTAGTAATAAGCTTGGCGCGCTTCACAGCCCACAGGGTGGCGCCATCAGCGGGAGACACAGCGCGATACACGTCCCCAAAGGCACCCCTGCCCAGCAGATTATCCTCGCTCCACCCGTTGGTGGCCCTCACCACCTGCTGCAGGGGATACTCCTGACATGCCTGCGCTGCTGCCTTGCTGCTCATTAACGCTGGTGAGAGAGGAAGGAGAAGGGGAGGCAGAAGGGCGGTTGGAGCACCAGGGGGCTTGTTTGGGTCTTTTGAGACGTCTCAAAACAACACTTTTATCACGTGGCTTGTTTGGGTCCCTGCCCAGAAGATTCACCTTCGCCTCGCTCCACCCGTCAGTCGCCCTCCCTACTCCTGCGATCTGCCTTGCTGCTCAGCAGTGCTGGTGAGAGAGCAAGGGGAAGCGGCGGCAGGAGGTGAAGAGCGAGGGAGAGGAGAAGGAGAGGCGAATAGTGGATGAAGAGAGGCAAGTAGGGGATAGGGAGAGGCGGTAGGGGATAGGTAGAGGCGGTAGGGGATAGGGAGAGGCAGGTAGGGGATAGGGAGAGGCAATCAGTGGATAGGGAGAGGCAGGTGGGGGATAGGGTGACTCAGGTACCGACAAGGGAGAGGGAGCTACAGATAAGGGAGAGGGAGGTAGAGACAAGGGAGAGAGAGTTACAGACAAGAGAGAGACATGTGGAAGACAGTGTGAGACAGGTAGTAGAGAAAAAGATGCAGGTGGAAGAGAGGGAGAGGGAGGTGGGGGAGAGGGAGACGGATTTGGAGAGAGGGATTGGCAAGTGGAAAAGAGTAAGGCGCATGCAGGGGAGAGGAAGAGGGAGCTAGAGGAGTTAAAGTTAAAGCTGAAAGAGGTGGAATACAAGGCAGCTGATGCACTGGATATGGTAATGGCCCGTGATTTCATCATTGAGCAGCATATCAGAATCCAGGTCAAGCAATACGACATATTGCCTGGATTTTGATATGCTGCTCAATGATGAAATCACGGGCCATTACCATATCCAGTGCATCAGCTGCCTTGTATTCCACCTCTTTCAGCTTTGACCTTAACTCCTCTAGCTCAATTTTCCTCTCTTCTGCATGCTCCTTACCCTCTTCCACTTGCCTTACCCTCTCTCCAATCTCCTTCTCCCTCTCCGCCACCTCCCACTCCCTCTCTCCCACCTGCATCTTTTTCTTCACTACCCGCCTCGCACTGTCTTCCACATGTCACTTTCTTGTCTGTAACTCTCTCTCCCTTGTCTCTACCTCCCTCTCCCTTGTCTGTAGCTCCCTCTCCCTTGTTTGTACCTGCGTCACCCTATCCCCCACCTGCCTCTCCCTATCCACTGATTGCGTCTCCCTCTCCCCCCACCCGCCTCTCCTTCTCCTCTCCCTCGCTCTTCACCTCTTCTGCCCAGCTGGTTCGCCTCGCTCCACCTGTCAGTGGCCTTCACCACGTGCTGCAGCGGGTAAACCCTGACACGCCTGCGCTGCTGCCCTGCTGCTCAACAGTGCTGGCGAGACGGAGATGAGAGAACAAGTGGAAGCGCATGATGTGATATGGAGCACCAGGGCGCTTGTTTGGGTCCCTGCCCAGGAGGTTCGCCTCGCTCCACCCGTTGGTCGGCCTCACCACGTGCTGCAGCGGTTACTCCTGACATGCCTGCGATGCTGCCTTGGTGCTCATTAACGCTGGTGAGAGAGGAAGGGGAAGGGGTGGCTAAAGGGGGGATGATTCGCCTCGCTCCACCCGTTAGTGGCCTTCACCACTGCAGAGGGTACTCCTGACACGCCTGCACTGCTGCCTTGCTGCTCATCAACGCTGGTGTGGGGAGTGCGTGAGAGAGGAGTGAGCAAGGAACGCCCATCAACGCTCATTCAACTATAATGGAGCACTGTGCCGCACTATTAGTTGTTGGAAAAGGGTGTGTGCGGCAGTGTGCGGTGTGTGCAGCAGTGTGGGGCCGTGAGAAGCACCTTGCTGTTGCCGTTTGTTGAAGCAGCAGCAGTAGAGCAGAAGAGCCACGCCCAGGAGAGCATGTTTGAGTGACCTTTTGAGAATTCTCAAAAGTAACATCAACGAACCTTTCTGTTGCCATTCGTTGAAGCAGCAGCAGCAGTAGAGGATTAGAGCCAGGCCCAGGAGAGCAGCACAGGCGGCAACCACAGCCCCGACAATCACTCCCATGACACTCCTGCCTTCCTCCACACTGGCTTTCCCTGGTTGCCTGTGGTGTGCTGTGTACTGCGCTCAGTACCTTTCTCTTGCCGTTTGTTGAAGCAGCAGTGGTAGAGGATTGAAGCCAGGCCCAGGGCAGCAGCACAGGCGGCAACCACTGCCCCGACGATCACTCCCACAGACACTCCTGCCTTCCCCTGGTTGGCTGCAGGCGGTGCCGGCAACTGGGACTTGTCGCCTGCAAAGACACCACAGAACGTGCAAGCACATTAGCTCAGCTGGCAAGGGGCTTGTACCAGGCATCCAGCACAGTAGAGCAGCTTCTGCAGGCTGGGGCCACTGCCTGGGGTCACTGCCTGGGGTGACTCACATGTGGTGCAGAAGTCAGCGCAGGTGCGGCAGAAGCCAGTAGATGGATTCTGAGGCACACCGCAGCTGCTGTAGCGGTCAGGGCACGCGAGAGTGGTGTTGCTGGTGGCGCTGATTAAGGCAAGGGGATGGGGACGAGGGAAGGACATGCGAGACTGGTGGGTCTGATTGCGGTGCAGAAGTCTCTGTAGGTGCGCCAGAAGGCAGAGGACGCTTTCTGGGTCTGGGCCACACCACAACCGCTGTCGCGGCCAGGGCATGGGAGAGAGAGAGGTGTTGCTGGTGGAGCTGGCTCAGGCAGATGGTGGAGCATGGGGATGAGGGAAGGGCGCAGATGTGCTCATTGCCTCCTCACCTCATCAATCACTCCTGCAGGAAGCTCATTGCCTCCTCCAACCCACTTCACCCCACTCCGCTCCACTCCACTCCACTCCACTCCACTCCACTCCACTCCACTCCACTCCACTCCACTCCACTCCGCTCCGCTCCACTCCAGTCCGCTTCACTCCAGTGTTGTGTGCTGTGTGCTGTGTGCTGTGTGCTGTGTGCTGTGTGCTGGTGTGCTGTCGCTGTGAGGAGTCCAGTCTTAGAAGAGCACTCACAGCGTGGAGAGGTTGTTCAGGCTGCCAAAGGAGGGGGGGATGGTTCCTTGCAGCTTGTTGAAGCCCATGTCTCTGTGCCGCATGAGAAGCAAGAGAAGCTTTTCACTAAGGATTTTGAAGCTTAGGTTCTAGTTTTGCCAGTGGACGCAACGTGATGGCACGTGGGGGGGCATGTATGAATGTGTGTATGGTGGTGTGGTATGGGAAAGGTACATGAGACAGACGTACGAATCTTCATCACAAGACAAAATGGATTTCCAGCGGGATTAACACCAGCTGCAGTGGCAGCGGCATGAATAACAGCTGCAACAGCAGCAGCAGCATCAGCATCAGCAACAGTTGCAGCGGCACCAACAGGAGGGTTGCAGCAGCAAATGAGGCAGTAACAAGCGCCTTTAACACTTGGTGAAATTGCCAGCGACACATGAACATTCAAAGTGAAACGAAGGGTTCAAAGTGACACAGAGGGGTCAAAGTGACACACATGGTAACTAGGGAGGTCATGGCCGTGAGAGATTCAGGGAGAGGGCCACTGAGCTGGTTGTGAGAGAGATCCCTGCAGTGAGGAGCGCACGGTGGGTGAATTGAGAGGCATGAGACGACTTTTGGCATTCATGCCTCTCCCTCATGCCTCTCTTCTCCCACATGCCTCTCCCTCATGCCTCAAAACCTGAGCTGGTTGTGAGAGAGATCCCTGCAGTGAGGAGCGCACGGTGGGTGAGAGGCATGGGCATGGCATGAGAGAGACGCATGCGCATGGCCTGACGGGGAGGAATGCGCATGGCATGAGAGGGCGGTATGCGCATGGCATGAGAGAGACGCATGCGCATGGCATGAGAGAGAGGTATGAGGAGAAGGGCAGATAAAGCATGGCATGGGGGCATGACCATAAAAGGAGGGAGAATCAACCCGGCAACCGCTGGCAAGGGAGCGAACAGCAGAGAACACATAATGATGAATCACGTGTGTCATCTCATCACATCAGCAGCAGGGCAGTGGTTGCTTTTAATACTCGAAGAGGGGCTTACAGAAGGTGCAGGTTGGGCAGGGTTAGCCCTTGCAGCAGCTGATCGCCCTCGAGCCCATTGTGTGACATATCCCTGTGGAGGCATGCATGCATGCCATGCCATGCCATGCCATGCCATCCCCAACAAGCACAACGCCATGCACAGCAGCGGATTCAGCATGGCAGCACAGAAAACAAGCAGCGCACAGAAAACAAGCAGCGCACACAAGCAGTGGGAGTGCAGGCGAAAGAGGCAATGCGAGACAAGGCAGCCACTATGCTGCATGTGCTACTACTACCCGTACTGTGCATGGCACATGCATGGCACGCGCATGGTACATGCATGGCACGCGCATGGTACATGCATGGCACGCGCATGGTACATGCATGGCACGCGCATGGTACATGCATGGCACGCGCATGGTACATGCATGGCACGCGCATGGTACATGCATGGCACGCGCATGGTACATGCATGGCACGCGCATGGTACATGCATGGCACGCGCATGGTACATGCATGGCACATGTCCTGGCTGCTCCTCTCCAGCATGCCTACTCACAGCAAGCAAGCACCTCACAGTATTCCGCTCTAAACAAGAAGCCTCTGCCACGTAACGGCATGGCCTTGAAGTGGTGCCCCCTTCAATGTGCCTCCTTCAATGTGCCCCCTTCAATGTGCCTCCTTCAATGTGCCTCCTTCAATGTGCCCCCTTCAATGTGCCTCCTTCAATGTGCCCCCTTCAATGTGCCTCCTTCAATGTGCCTCCTTCAATGTGCCCCCTTCAATGTGCCTCCTTCAATGTGCCCCCTTCAATGTGCCTCCTTCAATGTGCCTCCTTCAATGTGCCTCCTTCAATGTGCCTCCTTCAATGTGCCTCCTTCAATGTGCCTCCTTCAATGTGCCTCCTTCAATGTGCCTCCTTCAATGTGCCTCCTTCAATGTGCCTCCTTCAATGTGGAGCTCCGGCAGTACTTTTGAGTCGACTTGAGTCGACTTGAAAACACTCACAGGGACGTGAGGCTGGTGAGGTTGCTCAGGCCCCGGAGTTGGTTGGAGTGCAGTGCGTTGGAGCTCAGATTGCTGCCATACAGAGGGAGGAAGTGAATGAAAAGGGGCAGTAGAAGGGGCAACGAAGGGGTGTGGGAGGGCACAGAGAGCATAGCGTGCATGCAAAGCGACAGAGAGCGTGAATGAAAAAAGCAGCACTGAGAGTGTGCATGCACATGCAGATGCGCACACACTAGGAGGAGGGGCTATGTACCGCTTGCGTGGCTGCAATGCAAACAGTATCAAAGAACGAACGATGAGGAACAGTACAGCTTCTGTAGTTTGGCGAAGTCCAGTCCGTGAAGGGGCGATAGATCCGAGACGCCGTTGGATGGCAGCTCGCTGAACGGGAGGAGGACGGGGCGAGAAAGGCCAGGGCGGAGAATGTGGGGAGAAAAACACAGCAAGAGGGGCAGCGAGAGGCAGTAGGAGCAGAGAAGGGAACGTGGCCTAAGATGCAGTTGTCGATAGACCCGAGATGAGTCGTGTTTTGAGTCGACTCAAAACACGACTCATGGCCTAAGATGCAGGTGTGGATAGACCCGAGATGCCTATGTAGAGTATTTTTGAGAATTCTCAAAAATACTCTACAAAACACGACTCATGGCCTAAGATGCAGGTGTGGATAGACCCGAGATGCCTATGGATGGCAGCTCGCTGAAGGGGAGGAGGACGGGGAGGTAGAAGCCACGGCGGAGCATGCGGGGAAAGGCGCAACGAAAAGGACCAGAAGAGGGAAGTAGGAGCAGAGAAGGGAACATGGCCTAAGATGCCGGAGTGGAGGAAGATGTGTGGCCACGAGGTGTGGAAGGGCAGAGGTGGGTGCAAGGGCAGAGGTGGGGCCAAGGGTGAAGAGTGCATGTGGGGAGTGCACATGAGAGCAGTACTTACACATCCACGAGGCTGGTGAGTGAGCTGAGCAGTGAGAAGCCGCCATTGGTGCCCATGCCGCAGTCCTTCACTCTCCTGCACGCCACCGCAAGCGAGGCAAGCAGGGAAGCGTTGGACCTTTGAATGAGTGCTTGGAGCTTTGAATAAGTGTTTGGGCCGGCGAGAATCAGCAAAAAGGCAGCCATGACATGCTCCATGCATGCGATGCCATGCCATCCTCTAACAGATAGACGAACTTTGTAAGGATGCAATGGTGTCACATGGCATTTCTTGGGCATCCCCCTCAATGCATGCCGTCAAGCAAGTAAACACTGTTTTTTATCTAAAAAGCACGCGTTCAAATAGCAATGGAGCATGCAGTGGCGCATGCAGTGGCGCATGCAGTGGCGCATGCAGTGGCGCATGCAGTGGCGCATGCAGTGGCGCATGCAGTGGCGCATGCAGTGGCGCATGCAGTGGCGCATGCAGTGGCGCATGCAGTGGCGCATGCAGTGGCGCATGCAGTGGCGCATGCAGTGGCGCATGCAGTGGCGCATGCAGTGGCGCATGCAGTGGCGCATGCAGTGGCGCATGCAGTGGCGCATGCAGTGGCGCATGCAGTGGCGCATGCAGTGGCGTACAGTCTGGTGAGCTGCGCGAGGTTGGCAATGGTGGAAGGAAAGCTCTCTGCAACACCGCCCGGAACACACTCCACTGACCTGCAGAAGCACACACACATGCACATGCAGAAGCACATGCACATGCACATGCAGAAGCACACACACATGCACATGCACATGCACATCCACATCCACATGCACATGCAGAAGCACACACACATGCACATGCACATGCACATGCACATGCAGAAGCACATGCACATGCACATGCACATGCACATGCATGGAGTAAAACAAATGCATGAGTACTTTTGATGCTCGCCAGCATACATAATCATTCCGTCGTAGGCGCCTCAACGCACAAGGCACACATTCGGCATGCAGAATGGAAATTAGCAAGGACAATGTTACTCGGATTAACGTCATACAGAATAGAAAGAAGCATCAGGATTGCAAGAAAAACCGTTTTACATGCCCCTTATGGCCCAGTCTAACTTGGCAAGCGTCCTCCTATCCGCTCTGTAGGCTCAATCTGGTTGCCCCTACTCGCTTTATGAGTCGACTAATAAATGCCCTACTCGCTGCCTAGCCTTGCTTGTGTTTTCCTATCACAACAACTCACAGCGCCTTGAGCCACGTGATGCTGTAGAGTGGGTTGTCCAGAAAATAGACGGCGCTGCTGAAGCTCCTGCAGCGTGGAAAGCATTGGTGAGGATGGATGACGTCACACAGAAGGCCAGAGGAGAGGGCACAACACAATCCGAGCACAACGCAAGCCGAGCACAACGCAAGCCGAGCACAGGACAGAGAGATTCCATCCATGAATGCGGTGGTGGTGGGTGGTGGGTGGCGGTGTGGGTGGAAAAGGCGTGGCTATGTGAAGCAGCACAAGAACACAGGCGCACACAGGCGCACATAAGCACGCCCCTCACAGGGCCCCTGTCTGAGCCCTCCCTGGAGGACTCTCGCATGCACGCATACATGCACGCTCTCACACACATGCATGCACACGCACTCGCACACACGCACACACACACACACACGCACGCACACATGCACATGCATGCACACGCACACACGCACACACGCACACATGCACATGCATGCACACGCACACACGCACACACTCACACACGCACGGACTCACACATGCACACACGCACACACGCACACACTCAGACACTCACACACGTTCACACGCACACACTCACACACGCACACACTCACACACGCACACACGCACACACGCACACACGCACACACGCACACACGCACACACGCACACACTCACACACGCACACACTCACACACGCGCACACTTACACACGCACACACTCACACACGCGCATGCATGCACACGCACACACGCACGCACGCACACACGCACACACTCACACACGCACACACTCACACACGCGCATGCATGCACACGCACACACGCACGCACGCACACACGCACACACTCACACACGCAAACACTCACACACGCACACACTCACACACGCACTCACTCACACACGCACACACTCACACACGCACTCACTCACACACGCACTCACACACACGCACAGGGCCTCTGTCAGAGCCCTCCCTGGAGGACTCTCGCACGCACGCTAGTTTAGATACTTGAGAAAACCAAACTATCACACACGCATGCATGCACAGACGCGCTCGCACGCACACACACCCATGCACACACACGCGCGCATGCACGCACACACACCCATGCACACACACGCGCGCATGCACGCACACACACACATGCATGCACACACGCGCTCGCACGCACACACTCGCATCGCATGCACACACGCATGCACACACCCACGCACGCATTACACTTGCACGCACGCATGTACGCACTGACACACACACACACACACACACACACACACACACACGTTCACTCACACACAAAAACACACACGAACACACACACACACACACACACACGAACACACACACACACACACACACACACACACACACACACACACACGCACACACGCTTACAGCTCCGTGAGGCTACCAAGGCGCGTGACACTATCTGTGGGGAAGGACGGCCCCATGAGCGTGAAGAATTGCCTGAGGGGGTGAAAGGGTGTGTGGAACAAAAAGATGCTTTGAGTCGAGTCGAAACACACCTGAAAGGACGGCCCCATGAGCTTGAAGAATTGCCTGGGGAAGAAAACGGTGGATGGAACATTGACAGTCGGTTGTGCTGAAGCACTCTACTGAGCCTTCAGGGGCGCTTGAGATGTGATTTCAGAAGCATTTCAGAAACAGAAATGAGAATTGTTGGTGGTGTTATGAGCTCTCTCAAGACTCATTGAGGGCGAAGCTCATGGAAAAGCCACGTCGCAACAAAGAGCAGTAGCATACAAACAACTCAGCAAACACAGATGAGCAATGAGCCATGAGAGCTGGGCGAGCTGCAACTTAGGAGAATTCTTTTGGGACGTCTCAAAACTCAAAAACAGCCCTCTCAGACGTCTAGGAAGATGAGCAATGCGCATGCGCGCACACGTACATGGAGGTAACGCTGCCCTCCTTATCGCACGTGAGGCGACTTTTGAGGCGCCTCAACAGAAGTCTGTTTTTTTACGTTCCTCAAAAACAGCCCTCTCAGACGTCTCAGAAGATGAGCAAAGCGCGGGACGTACATGGAGGTAACGCTGCCAGCCTGGTCACACGTGAGGCCAGCCGCGCCCCTGCAGTCCCCTCCAGGGAACCAGCCTGTGAATGTGAAGTTCCACGCCTTCTGCAGCTCCTGTAGCACCGCACCTGGGCAACGGGACGGGCCAATCACAGCAGCACACGCGGCAGCCATGCATGTGGAGGATTTCGGAGTGATGAGTGAGGGGCATCGGACGACGTCGGGCTGTGGGGCAGTGGCGAGTGGTGGCGAGTGGTGGCGAGTGGTGGCAAATGGTGGCGAGTGGTGGCGATTGGTGGCGAGTGGTGGCGAGAAGTGGCGAGTGGTTGCGGGACTCGATTTTAAGAAGCGGCTTGTCAAACATCGTCTCACTTCACTCTGATTCTGGACGGACTGTGCGACAGTGGCGAATGGAGGCAAGACTTGCCCAAAGACGTAAATTTTGCTTGGAGGGAAGCAGAGAGGGAAGCAGAGAGGGAAGCAGAAAGGGAAGCAGAGTGGGAAGCAGAAAGGGAAGCAGAGTGGGAAGCAGAAAGGGAAGCAGAGTGGGAAGCAGAGTGGGAAGCAGAAAGGGAAGCAGGGTGGGAAGCAGAAAGGGAAGCAGAGTGGGAAGCAGAAAGGGAAGCAGAGTGGGAAGCAGAAAGGGAAGCAGAGTGGGAAGCAGAAAGGGAAGCAGAGTGGGAAGCAGAAAGGGAAGCAGAGTGGGAAGCAGAGTGGGAAGCAGAAAGGGAAGCAGAGTGGGAAGCAGAAAGGGAAGCAGAGTGGGAAGCAGAAAGGGAAGCAGAGTGGGAAGCAGAAAGGGAAGCAGAGTGGGAAGCAGAAAGGGAAGCAGAGTGGGAAGCAGAAAGGGAAGCAGAGTGGGAAGCAGAGTGGGAAGCAGAAAGGGAAGCAGAGTGGGAAGCAGAAAGGGAAGCAGAGTGGGAAGCAGAAAGGGAAGCAGAGTGGGAAGCAGAAAGGGAAGCAGAGTGGGAAGCAGAAAGGGAAGCAGAGTGGGAAGCAGAGTGGGAAGCAGAAAGGGAAGCAGAGTGGGAAGCAGAGTGGGAAGCAGAGAGGGAAGCAGAGTGGGAAGCAGAGTGGGAAGCAGAGTGGGAAGCAGAGTAGGAAGCAGAGTGGGAAGCAGAGTGGGAAGCAGAGTGGGAAGCAGAGTGGGAAGCAGAGTGGGAAGCAGAGTCGGAAGCAGAGTGGGAAGCAGAGTGGGAAGCAGAGTGGGAAGCAGAGTGGGAAGCAGAGTGGGAAACAGAGTGGGAAGCAGAGAGGGAAGCAGAGTGGGAAGTAGAGTGGGAAGCAGAGTGGGAAGCTTGGTGGGAAGCAGAGTGGGAAGCAGAGTGGGAAGCAGAGTGGGAAGCAGAGAGGGAAGCAGAGTGGGAAGCAGAGTGGGAAGCAGAGTGGGAAGCAGAGAGGGAAGCAGAGTGGGAAGCAGAGTGGGAAGCAGAGTGGGAAGCAGAGTGGGAAGCAGAGTGGGAAGCAGAGTGGGAAGCAGAGTGGGAAGCAGAGTGGGAAGCAGAGTGGGAAGCAGAGTGGGAAGCAGAGTGGGAAACAGAGTGGGAAGCAGAGAGGGAAGCAGAGTGGGAAGTAGAGTGGGAAGCAGAGTGGGAAGCTTGGTGGGAAGCAGAGTGGGAAGCAGAGTGGGAAGCAGAGAGGGAAGTAGACTGGGAAGCAGAGAGGGAAGCAGAGAGGGAAGCAGAGAAGGAAGCAGAGAGGAAAGCACGGCATTGTGAAAAAAGCAAGCGGGCAGAAAGGGTTTTTGGAAGAGGATCAGTCCAGAAATTGTGGAAGAGCATCCAGGATGCTTGGAGACTTGGAAGTTTGGTGGCTGTTGAGGTTGTGATTGCTGGCTCAACACGCATGAGCATGAGCACGGGTACGGGCACGAGCACGAGCACGGGCACGAGCACGAGCACGGGTACGGGCACGGGCACGGGCACGAGCACGAGCACGAGCACGAGCACGGGCACGGGCACGGGCACGGGCACGGGCACGGGCACGGGCACGGGCACGGGCACGGGCACGGGCACGGGCACTGTAACGAGGGTTGTATTTGAGGCGCAGCGGATGCTCTCATACCCTTACGTGTAAGCCCCACAGGCGTTACACTCGTCCCCCCCTGGAGCCAACGTCCTCGTTGGGCAGGGAGTCGGCCCTCGCAAGGACCTGAATCTCGCTGGTGGGCCAAGCCCAGCGGCGGATCGTTCACTGGGTTCGCGACTGGCACATTCAACTTCTTGCTCGCAAGCGGAAAATGTGACCCAGTCGGGAATCGAACCCCAGGCTCTGATACCAAATGTAACACCTCGCTACCCACTGGGTCAAAACGAGGGTTGTATTTGAGGCGCAGCGGATGCTCTCATACCCTTACGTGTAAGCCCCACAGGCGTTACAGGCACGGGCACGAGCACGAGCATCACGGCGTTGTTTCGGGGAGCAACGCAACAGCTTACTACGAGTTGCGCAAGTCTTAGGTATCGATTCACCGCCTCGCCGGACGATCAGACCACCAACTCGTCGAAAGATCACCTCGCCGCCTCGTCGGACGATCAACTCACCGCCTCGCTGGAAAGCGAACGATTTGTTGGTGAGTCCCTGAGGACCATGTCACGCCCTGACTAGCAGCGACCCATCTATTCATCCCCTGACCTACCATCGGAATCCGAGATGATCTGTGCGACGGCCGTCCGCGGCACGAGGCATGCGATCACTGCGACGAATCCAAGCAGCCCGACGACGGATGCGACTCGCACAGAGTGACCGCCGCCGCCACGGCCGGCGAGGCCTCTGAGCATGATCGTGCGCGTGCCGCCGGGCTAGCTCTGCCCAGTCTGCAAGGCAGCGGCTCGCTGGTCTACGGTACTACTTAACGAGTCGTAGCCTGGCCTTTGGCGGCGTTACTACCAGTGGGTCTTTCGAAATCAACCGGGCCGCATCGACGGACGGTCGCAGCTCGAGTCACTCGGACAAAACACGGTATTTGAGTGCCTGCCTGATTCCAAAAATATACCAACGCTTCATTTGGGTGTGGAGCGGAGTTTTACTGTCGAAGTGCCATGGCGGCTGACAATATTCTTTACAATTCTTTGCATCGATGGCGATGTCATGTCATGTGGGCTTACAGTCAATGTCATGGCATGTCATGTCATGTCGATGTCATGTCATGTGCGTTACGTTTGCGTAGGGTTGCGCGAACAAACGAATGCGCATGTTACTTTGTAAGTAACTTCGTGTCGGGGTTCAATCAACCGACGCGTCACCAATTCCCGCCCAAACAACGCCATGTAACAGGGGTGTACATGGCTGTTCTGACACGCGCAACGCGTTCACTCTTGTTCGAGACGAGATGCCCAATGGTGGCGCAGATTTCGATGTAATTCAGTTCCTTTAGAAGTCCGCCCAGTTCACTTCAGAGGTATATTCTGTACCCTTTCTATTTCACTCAGCATACTGTTACAATGAATGAGATGTGCTTCACTCTATTAGAAAGGCCAGGTGGTGGTACAGGTGGTGTGAGAATGAACGGGTTTAATACCTTGTGAATTACTATCTAGATGCATACAATAAATCATCCAAACGCAACTACACTTGTGAAATTTCAACGCCTGTGTGATTGCTGAATTGCAGCACTTGAGGCAATGTCACATGTACATCTCACATTCCCAGCAATGTATCTCTAGTATAACTGCTGTAGCATAGAGTTATACCATGAGCGAATGCACATTCGAGCCCCAACATCGTAGTCCCACAACCCTTGCTTCACCTGCCTCCGTATTTTCTTCCGCCTCCCAGCCACCCAGTTGTTATGGATTATCACACAACCCATTTCTTCACACCCTGTCCGAACGCTATTCCCCATGTGGAACAACATCCTCGTTGCATCATTAGGGAACCTACTTCTATCCAGAAAATCCACAGTAAGGTTGAACTTCGGATTTAAGCACTTGGAATCGCCCACGGTGTACTCAGAAGAAGCTCCACACAGCACATCATAGAAGCTCGGCTGCTCCGTTATGGGGGATGCTGCTGCATGTGCCACCACCGCCTCTAAAGCCGCCAAGGCCCTCGGCTCGGAGCGGATGAAATAAAACCCCGAGTTGAGCCGCCGATAGTCATTATCCGGGCCCGTGTCATTATGATTATCGCTCTGAACCACCATGTGCCCCGGCCCATACCCCATCACTATCGGCCGCGCGTCCGCAAACCAGTAAATATCCGCGTCGTTAAACAGCACATGGTAACCAGCCCGTAACACGCGGAGGGCTGCCCGAGACTTCACTTTAGTCACATTGAGGAAGCAGTCCGTGCCGAAGTGGCAGTCGTCGCGGCCGAAGGCATAATCGTACGCGTGGGGGAACACGGGCAGGCCCTGCTCGCGGGCAAAGTCGTAAGTATCCCTGTCCATGGCGGCTATAACGTAGTTGTGCACGTGCAGGCGGCGCAGCCCACACACCCAGCTCATCATCACCTCCCTGTAGTTTGACGCCACCACCGCCAGCACCACCGTCCGCGCTTCGTCTCCCTCTACTGCACCTGCCCCGTCGACCCCTGCTGTCCCCCCTGTCCCTTCTGTCCCTTCTCTCCCTTGTGTCCCTTTTGTTCCTTCTGCTTCAGACTTCCGCACGCTGCTGCCTCTCCTTCCTGCTGCAGCCTCCTTTTCGCCCAATCCTTCATCCTCTTGCGTGCGTCTTCCCTTCCCTCTCTCCCTGCTTCCCCCCCTCTTCATGCGCGTCCCCCTCCCCACCACCTGTCGCAGCACCCGCAGCATCACCTCATCATGCTCCACTCTCTCAAACGCAAGCCCCCCCACCCCTGTCCCTCCATCCGCCACTCCACCCGCCCCTCTAGTCTCGTTCCTACCTCCGACCGACCCTCCTCTCTCATCTTCACCCCTTCCCCCTCCACTCTCCTCCTCCTCAACCTCCACCCCTAACTCCACCTCCTTCCTCTTGGCCTCCCGCCTCCGCCTTAACCCAAGACCCTCTCTCCTCCACGCGGCTGCTGCCTGCTTCAACTCCTCTCTCTCAACCCGCCGAATGCACCTCTGCCCCTCGCCCCGATCACCGCCTCCCCCCTCCTCATCCCCGCTTCCTCCTTCTGGTGGCACCATCCGCCATTGCTGCTTGCCCCGTGGCTGGAAGCAGAACCCAGCAGCGCCAGGATAGGCACAAGGGACAAGGGCCCACGGCACATCTCCAAGTGACATGCGCGGCCCACGGCTCACTCTCTGCTGCTGCCTCTGTTGCAGCAGTTGCTGCTGTGCGGCGCTGCTGCTGTCCTTGGTGGAACCGTGCTTGTTGTGGGAGTGACCGTTGGCGGGAGGAACAGAGGATAGTGAGAGGGGAAAGGATCCGTAGGAGAGAGCCAAGTAGGCATTCAGCTCTTCCTCTCCTTCCTCCTCACCCACTCCCTCACCTCCCCCCTCCTCTCCCTTCCAATCTCGCCCTCCCTCATCCTTTTCCTCCCCTTCCTCCTCTCCCTCCCAGTCGCCCATCCCCTCCTCCACAGCAGCAGCAGCCCCCCGGGGTGGCAGCAGCAGCACGGGCTTTAGCGCAGAAGCATCGAGCACGAGGCGGAGGGGCGAGGAGAGGCACTCGTGCAGCACCCACTGCTGCCACACACCCCGCACTGACGATGGTGTGCCGTGGTGAAGGCCAGGTGTGTGGTAACCAGGTAACCCCTGGCGTGTAGAATCGTTCCCCCAATCTTGAGAGCCAGCCTTCGAATCTACCGTTTCTCTTCGCTGCCCCTCCTCATGACCGGCCTTGCCCTCTTGCCCTCTGTGCCCTTCCTTCCCCCTTGACCCCTCGCGCTCCCCCCTGCTCTCCCCCCTCTCTGTGTGGGGCTGCAACAGGCGGAATGGGGGCATGGGGCCAGAGAGGAGAGGGGTGCAGCCCACGTTCCACGCCCATAGGATGGGGGGAGAGCAGGGCCGGTGAGAGAGCAAGGAGGACGACTGGAGATGACTTAAAGCCCCATCCATGCTCAGCTGACGTGTCACTCCTGTTACACTGGTTACCACCCATGCATACTCCTCCTCACTGTCACCCGTTTCTGCACTATTCTCTTCCCTCAGTGCCGCCCTACCTGCCCCAACCCTCCTCCACTCAACCGAACCAGCTCCTGGACCTCCTGCCGAGCCTCCTGCTTCAACTCTCCACGCGCCTGCCACTAGCAGCCAGTCTCCCTGCACGTCCCGTGCCTTTTCCAAAGCTACACTCAGGCTCGGCATAAGCACAGCCTCGGGGTCGGTTAGGACGATTGCCACGCCTGCACGGGAGGCTCGGGCGCGGGCAAAGAGGCTGTTGGCTAAGGGTCGGCCTGAGGCGAAGCTTCGGAAGGGGAAAGAGTGAAAGCAGGGGAGGGAAGGGGGAGTGGGGGAGGGTACGGGGAAGCGGGGGAGGGCATGGAGAAGCTTGGGAAGGTATGGGAAAGCAGGGGAGGGTATGGAGAAGCGGGGGAAGGTATGGGGAAGCAGGGGAGGGTATGGGGAAACGGGGGAGGAGGCAGGCTGAGGGGAGGGTGGGGAAGTGGGGTAATGTGGCAGACCAGTGAGATTGAATGATGGGGTCAAAGGGAGAGGATAATCAGGCTGGAATGAGACCCCACCAGCACCACGCACAAGCCGGGCTGCAACCGCACCCACGACCAGAGAGTTGAACCACCACATGCGCATATGCTCCTCCCCATGCACCCCTCCCCATGCACCCCTCCCCATGCACCCGTCCCCATGCGCGCAACCCCATGCGCCAATGCTCCCCATGCACCCGTCCCCATGCGCGCAACCCCATGCGCCAATGCTCCCCATGCACCCGTCCCCATGCGCGCAACCCCATGCGCCAATGCTCCCCATGCACCCGTCCCCATGCGCGCAACCCCATGCGCCAATGCTCCCCATGCACCCGTCCCCATGCGCGCAACCCCATGCGCCAATGCTCCCCATGCACCCGTCCCCATGCGCGCAACCCCATGCGCCAATGCTCCCCATGCACCCGTCCCCATGCGCGCAACCCCATGCGCCAATGCTCCCCATGCACCCGTCCCCATGCGCGCAACCCCATGCGCCAATGCTCCCCATGCACCCGTCCCCATGCGCGCAACCCCATGCGCCAATGCTCCCCATGCACCCGTCCCCATGCGCGCAACCCCATGCGCCAATGCTCCCCATGCACCCGTCCCCATGCGCGCAACCCCATGCGCCAATGCTCCCCATGCACCCGTCCCCATGCGCGCAACCCCATGCGCCAATGCTCCCCATGCACCCGTCCCCATGCGCGCAACCCCATGCGCCAATGCTCCCCATGCACCCGTCCCCATGCGCGCAACCCCATGCGCCAATGCTCCCCATGCACCCGTCCCCATGCGCGCAACCCCATGCGCCAATGCTCCCCATGCACCCGTCCCCATGCGCGCAACCCCATGCGCCAATGCTCCCCATGCACCCGTCCCCATGCGCGCAACCCCATGCGCCAATGCTCCCCATGCACCCGTCCCCATGCGCGCAACCCCATGCGCCAATGCTCCCCATGCACCCGTCCCCATGCGCGCAACCCCATGCGCCAATGCTCCCCATGCACCCGTCCCCATGCGCGCAACCCCATGCGCCAATGCTCCCCATGCACCCGTCCCCATGCGCGCAACCCCATGCGCCAATGCTCCCCATGCACCCGTCCCCATGCGCGCAACCCCATGCGCCAATGCTCCCCATGCACCCGTCCCCATGCGCGCAACCCCATGCGCCAATGCTCCCCATGCACCCGTCCCCATGCGCGCAACCCCATGCGCCAATGCTCCCCATGCACCCGTCCCCATGCGCGCAACCCCATGCGCCAATGCTCCCCATGCACCCGTCCCCATGCGCGCAACCCCATGCGCCAATGCTCCCCATGCACCCGTCCCCATGCGCGCAACCCCATGCGCCAATGCTCCCCATGCACCCGTCCCCATGCGCGCAACCCCATGCGCCAATGCTCCCCATGCACCCGTCCCCATGCGCGCAACCCCATGCGCCAATGCTCCCCATGCACCCGTCCCCATGCGCGCAACCCCATGCGCCAATGCTCCCCATGCACCCGTCCCCATGCGCGCAACCCCATGCGCCAATGCTCCCCATGCACCCGTCCCCATGCGCGCAACCCCATGCGCCAATGCTCCCCATGCACCCGTCCCCATGCGCGCAACCCCATGCGCCAATGCTCCCCATGCACCCGTCCCCATGCGCGCAACCCCATGCGCCAATGCTCCCCATGCACCCGTCCCCATGCGCGCAACCCCATGCGCCAATGCTCCCCATGCACCCGTCCCCATGCGCGCAACCCCATGCGCCAATGCTCCCCATGCACCCGTCCCCATGCGCGCAACCCCATGCGCCAATGCTCCCCATGCACCCGTCCCCATGCGCGCAACCCCATGCGCCAATGCTCCCCATGCACCCGTCCCCATGCGCGCAACCCCATGCGCCAATGCTCCCCATGCACCCGTCCCCATGCGCGCAACCCCATGCGCCAATGCTCCCCATGCACCCGTCCCCATGCGCGCAACCCCATGCGCCAATGCTCCCCATGCACCCGTCCCCATGCGCGCAACCCCATGCGCCAATGCTCCCCATGCACCCGTCCCCATGCGCGCAACCCCATGCGCCAATGCTCCCCATGCACCCGTCCCCATGCGCGCAACCCCATGCGCCAATGCTCCCCATGCACCCGTCCCCATGCGCGCAACCCCATGCGCCAATGCTCCCCATGCACCCGTCCCCATGCGCGCAACCCCATGCGCCAATGCTCCCCATGCACCCGTCCCCATGCGCGCAACCCCATGCGCCAATGCTCCCCATGCACCCGTCCCCATGCGCGCAACCCCATGCGCCAATGCTCCCCATGCACCCGTCCCCATGCGCGCAACCCCATGCGCCAATGCTCCCCATGCACCCGTCCCCATGCGCGCAACCCCATGCGCCAATGCTCCCCATGCACCCGTCCCCATGCGCGCAACCCCATGCGCCAATGCTCCCCATGCACCCGTCCCCATGCGCGCAACCCCATGCGCCAATGCTCCCCATGCACCCGTCCCCATGCGCGCAACCCCATGCGCCAATGCTCCCCATGCACCCGTCCCCATGCGCGCAACCCCATGCGCCAATGCTCCCCATGCACCCGTCCCCATGCGCGCAACCCCATGCGCCAATGCTCCCCATGCACCCGTCCCCATGCGCGCAACCCCATGCGCCAATGCTCCCCATGCACCCGTCCCCATGCGCGCAACCCCATGCGCCAATGCTCCCCATGCACCCGTCCCCATGCGCGCAACCCCATGCGCCAATGCTCCCCATGCACCCGTCCCCATGCGCGCAACCCCATGCGCCAATGCTCCCCATGCACCCGTCCCCATGCGCGCAACCCCATGCGCCAATGCTCCCCATGCACCCGTCCCCATGCGCGCAACCCCATGCGCCAATGCTCCCCATGCACCCGTCCCCATGCGCGCAACCCCATGCGCCAATGCTCCCCATGCACCCGTCCCCATGCGCGCAACCCCATGCGCCAATGCTCCCCATGCACCCGTCCCCATGCGCGCAACCCCATGCGCCAATGCTCCCCATGCACCCGTCCCCATGCGCGCAACCCCATGCGCCAATGCTCCCCATGCACCCGTCCCCATGCGCGCAACCCCATGCGCCAATGCTCCCCATGCACCCGTCCCCATGCGCGCAACCCCATGCGCCAATGCTCCCCATGCACCCGTCCCCATGCGCGCAACCCCATGCGCCAATGCTCCCCATGCACCCGTCCCCATGCGCGCAACCCCATGCGCCAATGCTCCCCATGCACCCGTCCCCATGCGCGCAACCCCATGCGCCAATGCTCCCCATGCACCCGTCCCCATGCGCGCAACCCCATGCGCCAATGCTCCCCATGCACCCGTCCCCATGCGCGCAACCCCATGCGCCAATGCTCCCCATGCACCCGTCCCCATGCGCGCAACCCCATGCGCCAATGCTCCCCATGCACCCGTCCCCATGCGCGCAACCCCATGCGCCAATGCTCCCCATGCACCCGTCCCCATGCGCGCAACCCCATGCGCCAATGCTCCCCATGCACCCGTCCCCATGCGCGCAACCCCATGCGCCAATGCTCCCCATGCACCCGTCCCCATGCGCGCAACCCCATGCGCCAATGCTCCCCATGCACCCGTCCCCATGCGCGCAACCCCATGCGCCAATGCTCCCCATGCACCCGTCCCCATGCGCGCAACCCCATGCGCCAATGCTCCCCATGCACCCGTCCCCATGCGCGCAACCCCATGCGCCAATGCTCCCCATGCACCCGTCCCCATGCGCGCAACCCCATGCGCCAATGCTCCCCATGCACCCGTCCCCATGCGCGCAACCCCATGCGCCAATGCTCCCCATGCACCCGTCCCCATGCGCGCAACCCCATGCGCCAATGCTCCCCATGCACCCGTCCCCATGCGCGCAACCCCATGCGCCAATGCTCCCCATGCACCCGTCCCCATGCGCGCAACCCCATGCGCCAATGCTCCCCATGCACCCGTCCCCATGCGCGCAACCCCATGCGCCAATGCTCCCCATGCACCCGTCCCCATGCGCGCAACCCCATGCGCCAATGCTCCCCATGCACCCGTCCCCATGCGCGCAACCCCATGCGCCAATGCTCCCCATGCACCCGTCCCCATGCGCGCAACCCCATGCGCCAATGCTCCCCATGCACCCGTCCCCATGCGCGCAACCCCATGCGCCAATGCTCCCCATGCACCCGTCCCCATGCGCGCAACCCCATGCGCCAATGCTCCCCATGCACCCGTCCCCATGCGCGCAACCCCATGCGCCAATGCTCCCCATGCACCCGTCCCCATGCGCGCAACCCCATGCGCCAATGCTCCCCATGCACCCGTCCCCATGCGCGCAACCCCATGCGCCAATGCTCCCCATGCACCCGTCCCCATGCGCGCAACCCCATGCGCCAATGCTCCCCATGCACCCGTCCCCATGCGCGCAACCCCATGCGCCAATGCTCCCCATGCACCCGTCCCCATGCGCGCAACCCCATGCGCCAATGCTCCCCATGCACCCGTCCCCATGCGCGCAACCCCATGCGCCAATGCTCCCCATGCACCCGTCCCCATGCGCGCAACCCCATGCGCCAATGCTCCCCATGCACCCGTCCCCATGCGCGCAACCCCATGCGCCAATGCTCCCCATGCACCCGTCCCCATGCGCGCAACCCCATGCGCCAATGCTCCCCATGCACCCGTCCCCATGCGCGCAACCCCATGCGCCAATGCTCCCCATGCACCCGTCCCCATGCGCGCAACCCCATGCGCCAATGCTCCCCATGCACCCGTCCCCATGCGCGCAACCCCATGCGCCAATGCTCCCCATGCACCCGTCCCCATGCGCGCAACCCCATGCGCCAATGCTCCCCATGCACCCGTCCCCATGCGCGCAACCCCATGCGCCAATGCTCCCCATGCACCCGTCCCCATGCGCGCAACCCCATGCGCCAATGCTCCCCATGCACCCGTCCCCATGCGCGCAACCCCATGCGCCAATGCTCCCCATGCACCCGTCCCCATGCGCGCAACCCCATGCGCCAATGCTCCCCATGCACCCGTCCCCATGCGCGCAACCCCATGCGCCAATGCTCCCCATGCACCCGTCCCCATGCGCGCAACCCCATGCGCCAATGCTCCCCATGCACCCGTCCCCATGCGCGCAACCCCATGCGCCAATGCTCCCCATGCACCCGTCCCCATGCGCGCAACCCCATGCGCCAATGCTCCCCATGCACCCGTCCCCATGCGCGCAACCCCATGCGCCAATGCTCCCCATGCACCCGTCCCCATGCGCGCAACCCCATGCGCCAATGCTCCCCATGCACCCGTCCCCATGCGCGCAACCCCATGCGCCAATGCTCCCCATGCACCCGTCCCCATGCGCGCAACCCCATGCGCCAATGCTCCCCATGCACCCGTCCCCATGCGCGCAACCCCATGCGCCAATGCTCCCCATGCACCCGTCCCCATGCGCGCAACCCCATGCGCCAATGCTCCCCATGCACCCGTCCCCATGCGCGCAACCCCATGCGCCAATGCTCCCCATGCACCCGTCCCCATGCGCGCAACCCCATGCGCCAATGCTCCCCATGCACCCGTCCCCATGCGCGCAACCCCATGCGCCAATGCTCCCCATGCACCCGTCCCCATGCGCGCAACCCCATGCGCCAATGCTCCCCATGCACCCGTCCCCATGCGCGCAACCCCATGCGCCAATGCTCCCCATGCACCCGTCCCCATGCGCGCAACCCCATGCGCCAATGCTCCCCATGCACCCGTCCCCATGCGCGCAACCCCATGCGCCAATGCTCCCCATGCACCCGTCCCCATGCGCGCAACCCCATGCGCCAATGCTCCCCATGCACCCGTCCCCATGCGCGCAACCCCATGCGCCAATGCTCCCCATGCACCCGTCCCCATGCGCGCAACCCCATGCGCCAATGCTCCCCATGCACCCGTCCCCATGCGCGCAACCCCATGCGCCAATGCTCCCCATGCACCCGTCCCCATGCGCGCAACCCCATGCGCCAATGCTCCCCATGCACCCGTCCCCATGCGCGCAACCCCATGCGCCAATGCTCCCCATGCACCCGTCCCCATGCGCGCAACCCCATGCGCCAATGCTCCCCATGCACCCGTCCCCATGCGCGCAACCCCATGCGCCAATGCTCCCCATGCACCCGTCCCCATGCGCGCAACCCCATGCGCCAATGCTCCCCATGCACCCGTCCCCATGCGCGCAACCCCATGCGCCAATGCTCCCCATGCACCCGTCCCCATGCGCGCAACCCCATGCGCCAATGCTCCCCATGCACCCGTCCCCATGCGCGCAACCCCATGCGCCAATGCTCCCCATGCACCCGTCCCCATGCGCGCAACCCCATGCGCCAATGCTCCCCATGCACCCGTCCCCATGCGCGCAACCCCATGCGCCAATGCTCCCCATGCACCCGTCCCCATGCGCGCAACCCCATGCGCCAATGCTCCCCATGCACCCGTCCCCATGCGCGCAACCCCATGCGCCAATGCTCCCCATGCACCCGTCCCCATGCGCGCAACCCCATGCGCCAATGCTCCCCATGCACCCGTCCCCATGCGCGCAACCCCATGCGCCAATGCTCCCCATGCACCCGTCCCCATGCGCGCAACCCCATGCGCCAATGCTCCCCATGCACCCGTCCCCATGCGCGCAACCCCATGCGCCAATGCTCCCCATGCACCCGTCCCCATGCGCGCAACCCCATGCGCCAATGCTCCCCATGCACCCGTCCCCATGCGCGCAACCCCATGCGCCAATGCTCCCCATGCACCCGTCCCCATGCGCGCAACCCCATGCGCCAATGCTCCCCATGCACCCGTCCCCATGCGCGCAACCCCATGCGCCAATGCTCCCCATGCACCCGTCCCCATGCGCGCAACCCCATGCGCCAATGCTCCCCATGCACCCGTCCCCATGCGCGCAACCCCATGCGCCAATGCTCCCCATGCACCCGTCCCCATGCGCGCAACCCCATGCGCCAATGCTCCCCATGCACCCGTCCCCATGCGCGCAACCCCATGCGCCAATGCTCCCCATGCACCCGTCCCCATGCGCGCAACCCCATGCGCCAATGCTCCCCATGCACCCGTCCCCATGCGCGCAACCCCATGCGCCAATGCTCCCCATGCACCCGTCCCCATGCGCGCAACCCCATGCGCCAATGCTCCCCATGCACCCGTCCCCATGCGCGCAACCCCATGCGCCAATGCTCCCCATGCACCCGTCCCCATGCGCGCAACCCCATGCGCCAATGCTCCCCATGCACCCGTCCCCATGCGCGCAACCCCATGCGCCAATGCTCCCCATGCACCCGTCCCCATGCGCGCAACCCCATGCGCCAATGCTCCCCATGCACCCGTCCCCATGCGCGCAACCCCATGCGCCAATGCTCCCCATGCACCCGTCCCCATGCGCGCAACCCCATGCGCCAATGCTCCCCATGCACCCGTCCCCATGCGCGCAACCCCATGCGCCAATGCTCCCCATGCACCCGTCCCCATGCGCGCAACCCCATGCGCCAATGCTCCCCATGCACCCGTCCCCATGCGCGCAACCCCATGCGCCAATGCTCCCCATGCACCCGTCCCCATGCGCGCAACCCCATGCGCCAATGCTCCCCATGCACCCGTCCCCATGCGCGCAACCCCATGCGCCAATGCTCCCCATGCACCCGTCCCCATGCGCGCAACCCCATGCGCCAATGCTCCCCATGCACCCGTCCCCATGCGCGCAACCCCATGCGCCAATGCTCCCCATGCACCCGTCCCCATGCGCGCAACCCCATGCGCCAATGCTCCCCATGCACCCGTCCCCATGCGCGCAACCCCATGCGCCAATGCTCCCCATGCACCCGTCCCCATGCGCGCAACCCCATGCGCCAATGCTCCCCATGCACCCGTCCCCATGCGCGCAACCCCATGCGCCAATGCTCCCCATGCACCCGTCCCCATGCGCGCAACCCCATGCGCCAATGCTCCCCATGCACCCGTCCCCATGCGCGCAACCCCATGCGCCAATGCTCCCCATGCACCCGTCCCCATGCGCGCAACCCCATGCGCCAATGCTCCCCATGCACCCGTCCCCATGCGCGCAACCCCATGCGCCAATGCTCCCCATGCACCCGTCCCCATGCGCGCAACCCCATGCGCCAATGCTCCCCATGCACCCGTCCCCATGCGCGCAACCCCATGCGCCAATGCTCCCCATGCACCCGTCCCCATGCGCGCAACCCCATGCGCCAATGCTCCCCATGCACCCGTCCCCATGCGCGCAACCCCATGCGCCAATGCTCCCCATGCACCCGTCCCCATGCGCGCAACCCCATGCGCCAATGCTCCCCATGCACCCGTCCCCATGCGCGCAACCCCATGCGCCAATGCTCCCCATGCACCCGTCCCCATGCGCGCAACCCCATGCGCCAATGCTCCCCATGCACCCGTCCCCATGCGCGCAACCCCATGCGCCAATGCTCCCCATGCACCCGTCCCCATGCGCGCAACCCCATGCGCCAATGCTCCCCATGCACCCGTCCCCATGCGCGCAACCCCATGCGCCAATGCTCCCCATGCACCCGTCCCCATGCGCGCAACCCCATGCGCCAATGCTCCCCATGCACCCGTCCCCATGCGCGCAACCCCATGCGCCAATGCTCCCCATGCACCCGTCCCCATGCGCGCAACCCCATGCGCCAATGCTCCCCATGCACCCGTCCCCATGCGCGCAACCCCATGCGCCAATGCTCCCCATGCACCCGTCCCCATGCGCGCAACCCCATGCGCCAATGCTCCCCATGCACCCGTCCCCATGCGCGCAACCCCATGCGCCAATGCTCCCCATGCACCCGTCCCCATGCGCGCAACCCCATGCGCCAATGCTCCCCATGCACCCGTCCCCATGCGCGCAACCCCATGCGCCAATGCTCCCCATGCACCCGTCCCCATGCGCGCAACCCCATGCGCCAATGCTCCCCATGCACCCGTCCCCATGCGCGCAACCCCATGCGCCAATGCTCCCCATGCACCCGTCCCCATGCGCGCAACCCCATGCGCCAATGCTCCCCATGCACCCGTCCCCATGCGCGCAACCCCATGCGCCAATGCTCCCCATGCACCCGTCCCCATGCGCGCAACCCCATGCGCCAATGCTCCCCATGCACCCGTCCCCATGCGCGCAACCCCATGCGCCAATGCTCCCCATGCACCCGTCCCCATGCGCGCAACCCCATGCGCCAATGCTCCCCATGCACCCGTCCCCATGCGCGCAACCCCATGCGCCAATGCTCCCCATGCACCCGTCCCCATGCGCGCAACCCCATGCGCCAATGCTCCCCATGCACCCGTCCCCATGCGCGCAACCCCATGCGCCAATGCTCCCCATGCACCCGTCCCCATGCGCGCAACCCCATGCGCCAATGCTCCCCATGCACCCGTCCCCATGCGCGCAACCCCATGCGCCAATGCTCCCCATGCACCCGTCCCCATGCGCGCAACCCCATGCGCCAATGCTCCCCATGCACCCGTCCCCATGCGCGCAACCCCATGCGCCAATGCTCCCCATGCACCCGTCCCCATGCGCGCAACCCCATGCGCCAATGCTCCCCATGCACCCGTCCCCATGCGCGCAACCCCATGCGCCAATGCTCCCCATGCACCCGTCCCCATGCGCGCAACCCCATGCGCCAATGCTCCCCATGCACCCGTCCCCATGCGCGCAACCCCATGCGCCAATGCTCCCCATGCACCCGTCCCCATGCGCGCAACCCCATGCGCCAATGCTCCCCATGCACCCGTCCCCATGCGCGCAACCCCATGCGCCAATGCTCCCCATGCACCCGTCCCCATGCGCGCAACCCCATGCGCCAATGCTCCCCATGCACCCGTCCCCATGCGCGCAACCCCATGCGCCAATGCTCCCCATGCACCCGTCCCCATGCGCGCAACCCCATGCGCCAATGCTCCCCATGCACCCGTCCCCATGCGCGCAACCCCATGCGCCAATGCTCCCCATGCACCCGTCCCCATGCGCGCAACCCCATGCGCCAATGCTCCCCATGCACCCGTCCCCATGCGCGCAACCCCATGCGCCAATGCTCCCCATGCACCCGTCCCCATGCGCGCAACCCCATGCGCCAATGCTCCCCATGCACCCGTCCCCATGCGCGCAACCCCATGCGCCAATGCTCCCCATGCACCCGTCCCCATGCGCGCAACCCCATGCGCCAATGCTCCCCATGCACCCGTCCCCATGCGCGCAACCCCATGCGCCAATGCTCCCCATGCACCCGTCCCCATGCGCGCAACCCCATGCGCCAATGCTCCCCATGCACCCGTCCCCATGCGCGCAACCCCATGCGCCAATGCTCCCCATGCACCCGTCCCCATGCGCGCAACCCCATGCGCCAATGCTCCCCATGCACCCGTCCCCATGCGCGCAACCCCATGCGCCAATGCTCCCCATGCACCCGTCCCCATGCGCGCAACCCCATGCGCCAATGCTCCCCATGCACCCGTCCCCATGCGCGCAACCCCATGCGCCAATGCTCCCCATGCACCCGTCCCCATGCGCGCAACCCCATGCGCCAATGCTCCCCATGCACCCGTCCCCATGCGCGCAACCCCATGCGCCAATGCTCCCCATGCACCCGTCCCCATGCGCGCAACCCCATGCGCCAATGCTCCCCATGCACCCGTCCCCATGCGCGCAACCCCATGCGCCAATGCTCCCCATGCACCCGTCCCCATGCGCGCAACCCCATGCGCCAATGCTCCCCATGCACCCGTCCCCATGCGCGCAACCCCATGCGCCAATGCTCCCCATGCACCCGTCCCCATGCGCGCAACCCCATGCGCCAATGCTCCCCATGCACCCGTCCCCATGCGCGCAACCCCATGCGCCAATGCTCCCCATGCACCCGTCCCCATGCGCGCAACCCCATGCGCCAATGCTCCCCATGCACCCGTCCCCATGCGCGCAACCCCATGCGCCAATGCTCCCCATGCACCCGTCCCCATGCGCGCAACCCCATGCGCCAATGCTCCCCATGCACCCGTCCCCATGCGCGCAACCCCATGCGCCAATGCTCCCCATGCACCCGTCCCCATGCGCGCAACCCCATGCGCCAATGCTCCCCATGCACCCGTCCCCATGCGCGCAACCCCATGCGCCAATGCTCCCCATGCACCCGTCCCCATGCGCGCAACCCCATGCGCCAATGCTCCCCATGCACCCGTCCCCATGCGCGCAACCCCATGCGCCAATGCTCCCCATGCACCCGTCCCCATGCGCGCAACCCCATGCGCCAATGCTCCCCATGCACCCGTCCCCATGCGCGCAACCCCATGCGCCAATGCTCCCCATGCACCCGTCCCCATGCGCGCAACCCCATGCGCCAATGCTCCCCATGCACCCGTCCCCATGCGCGCAACCCCATGCGCCAATGCTCCCCATGCACCCGTCCCCATGCGCGCAACCCCATGCGCCAATGCTCCCCATGCACCCGTCCCCATGCGCGCAACCCCATGCGCCAATGCTCCCCATGCACCCGTCCCCATGCGCGCAACCCCATGCGCCAATGCTCCCCATGCACCCGTCCCCATGCGCGCAACCCCATGCGCCAATGCTCCCCATGCACCCGTCCCCATGCGCGCAACCCCATGCGCCAATGCTCCCCATGCACCCGTCCCCATGCGCGCAACCCCATGCGCCAATGCTCCCCATGCACCCGTCCCCATGCGCGCAACCCCATGCGCCAATGCTCCCCATGCACCCGTCCCCATGCGCGCAACCCCATGCGCCAATGCTCCCCATGCACCCGTCCCCATGCGCGCAACCCCATGCGCCAATGCTCCCCATGCACCCGTCCCCATGCGCGCAACCCCATGCGCCAATGCTCCCCATGCACCCGTCCCCATGCGCGCAACCCCATGCGCCAATGCTCCCCATGCACCCGTCCCCATGCGCGCAACCCCATGCGCCAATGCTCCCCATGCACCCGTCCCCATGCGCGCAACCCCATGCGCCAATGCTCCCCATGCACCCGTCCCCATGCGCGCAACCCCATGCGCCAATGCTCCCCATGCACCCGTCCCCATGCGCGCAACCCCATGCGCCAATGCTCCCCATGCACCCGTCCCCATGCGCGCAACCCCATGCGCCAATGCTCCCCATGCACCCGTCCCCATGCGCGCAACCCCATGCGCCAATGCTCCCCATGCACCCGTCCCCATGCGCGCAACCCCATGCGCCAATGCTCCCCATGCACCCGTCCCCATGCGCGCAACCCCATGCGCCAATGCTCCCCATGCACCCGTCCCCATGCGCGCAACCCCATGCGCCAATGCTCCCCATGCACCCGTCCCCATGCGCGCAACCCCATGCGCCAATGCTCCCCATGCACCCGTCCCCATGCGCGCAACCCCATGCGCCAATGCTCCCCATGCACCCGTCCCCATGCGCGCAACCCCATGCGCCAATGCTCCCCATGCACCCGTCCCCATGCGCGCAACCCCATGCGCCAATGCTCCCCATGCACCCGTCCCCATGCGCGCAACCCCATGCGCCAATGCTCCCCATGCACCCGTCCCCATGCGCGCAACCCCATGCGCCAATGCTCCCCATGCACCCGTCCCCATGCGCGCAACCCCATGCGCCAATGCTCCCCATGCACCCGTCCCCATGCGCGCAACCCCATGCGCCAATGCTCCCCATGCACCCGTCCCCATGCGCGCAACCCCATGCGCCAATGCTCCCCATGCACCCGTCCCCATGCGCGCAACCCCATGCGCCAATGCTCCCCATGCACCCGTCCCCATGCGCGCAACCCCATGCGCCAATGCTCCCCATGCACCCGTCCCCATGCGCGCAACCCCATGCGCCAATGCTCCCCATGCACCCGTCCCCATGCGCGCAACCCCATGCGCCAATGCTCCCCATGCACCCGTCCCCATGCGCGCAACCCCATGCGCCAATGCTCCCCATGCACCCGTCCCCATGCGCGCAACCCCATGCGCCAATGCTCCCCATGCACCCGTCCCCATGCGCGCAACCCCATGCGCCAATGCTCCCCATGCACCCGTCCCCATGCGCGCAACCCCATGCGCCAATGCTCCCCATGCACCCGTCCCCATGCGCGCAACCCCATGCGCCAATGCTCCCCATGCACCCGTCCCCATGCGCGCAACCCCATGCGCCAATGCTCCCCATGCACCCGTCCCCATGCGCGCAACCCCATGCGCCAATGCTCCCCATGCACCCGTCCCCATGCGCGCAACCCCATGCGCCAATGCTCCCCATGCACCCGTCCCCATGCGCGCAACCCCATGCGCCAATGCTCCCCATGCACCCGTCCCCATGCGCGCAACCCCATGCGCCAATGCTCCCCATGCACCCGTCCCCATGCGCGCAACCCCATGCGCCAATGCTCCCCATGCACCCGTCCCCATGCGCGCAACCCCATGCGCCAATGCTCCCCATGCACCCGTCCCCATGCGCGCAACCCCATGCGCCAATGCTCCCCATGCACCCGTCCCCATGCGCGCAACCCCATGCGCCAATGCTCCCCATGCACCCGTCCCCATGCGCGCAACCCCATGCGCCAATGCTCCCCATGCACCCGTCCCCATGCGCGCAACCCCATGCGCCAATGCTCCCCATGCACCCGTCCCCATGCGCGCAACCCCATGCGCCAATGCTCCCCATGCACCCGTCCCCATGCGCGCAACCCCATGCGCCAATGCTCCCCATGCACCCGTCCCCATGCGCGCAACCCCATGCGCCAATGCTCCCCATGCACCCGTCCCCATGCGCGCAACCCCATGCGCCAATGCTCCCCATGCACCCGTCCCCATGCGCGCAACCCCATGCGCCAATGCTCCCCATGCACCCGTCCCCATGCGCGCAACCCCATGCGCCAATGCTCCCCATGCACCCGTCCCCATGCGCGCAACCCCATGCGCCAATGCTCCCCATGCACCCGTCCCCATGCGCGCAACCCCATGCGCCAATGCTCCCCATGCACCCGTCCCCATGCGCGCAACCCCATGCGCCAATGCTCCCCATGCACCCGTCCCCATGCGCGCAACCCCATGCGCCAATGCTCCCCATGCACCCGTCCCCATGCGCGCAACCCCATGCGCCAATGCTCCCCATGCACCCGTCCCCATGCGCGCAACCCCATGCGCCAATGCTCCCCATGCACCCGTCCCCATGCGCGCAACCCCATGCGCCAATGCTCCCCATGCACCCGTCCCCATGCGCGCAACCCCATGCGCCAATGCTCCCCATGCACCCGTCCCCATGCGCGCAACCCCATGCGCCAATGCTCCCCATGCACCCGTCCCCATGCGCGCAACCCCATGCGCCAATGCTCCCCATGCACCCGTCCCCATGCGCGCAACCCCATGCGCCAATGCTCCCCATGCACCCGTCCCCATGCGCGCAACCCCATGCGCCAATGCTCCCCATGCACCCGTCCCCATGCGCGCAACCCCATGCGCCAATGCTCCCCATGCACCCGTCCCCATGCGCGCAACCCCATGCGCCAATGCTCCCCATGCACCCGTCCCCATGCGCGCAACCCCATGCGCCAATGCTCCCCATGCACCCGTCCCCATGCGCGCAACCCCATGCGCCAATGCTCCCCATGCACCCGTCCCCATGCGCGCAACCCCATGCGCCAATGCTCCCCATGCACCCGTCCCCATGCGCGCAACCCCATGCGCCAATGCTCCCCATGCACCCGTCCCCATGCGCGCAACCCCATGCGCCAATGCTCCCCATGCACCCGTCCCCATGCGCGCAACCCCATGCGCCAATGCTCCCCATGCACCCGTCCCCATGCGCGCAACCCCATGCGCCAATGCTCCCCATGCACCCGTCCCCATGCGCGCAACCCATGCCCCCGTCCCATGCGCGCAACCCCATGCGCCAATGCTCCCCATGCACCCGTCCCCATGCGCGCAACCCCATGCGCCAATGCTCCCCATGCACCCGTCCCCATGCGCGCAACCCCATGCGCCAATGCTCCCCATGCACCCGTCCCCATGCGCGCAACCCCATGCGCCAATGCTCCCCATGCACCCGTCCCCATGCGCGCAACCCCATGCGCCAATGCTCCCCATGCACCCGTCCCCATGCGCGCAACCCCATGCGCCAATGCTCCCCATGCACCCGTCCCCATGCGCGCAACCCCATGCGCCAATGCTCCCCATGCACCCGTCCCCATGCGCGCAACCCCATGCGCCAATGCTCCCCATGCACCCGTCCCCATGCGCGCAACCCCATGCGCCAATGCTCCCCATGCACCCGTCCCCATGCGCGCAACCCCATGCGCCAATGCTCCCCATGCACCCGTCCCCATGCGCGCAACCCCATGCGCCAATGCTCCCCATGCACCCGTCCCCATGCGCGCAACCCCATGCGCCAATGCTCCCCATGCACCCGTCCCCATGCGCGCAACCCCATGCGCCAATGCTCCCCATGCACCCGTCCCCATGCGCGCAACCCCATGCGCCAATGCTCCCCATGCACCCGTCCCCATGCGCGCAACCCCATGCGCCAATGCTCCCCATGCACCCGTCCCCATGCGCGCAACCCCATGCGCCAATGCTCCCCATGCACCCGTCCCCATGCGCGCAACCCCATGCGCCAATGCTCCCCATGCACCCGTCCCCATGCGCGCAACCCCATGCGCCAATGCTCCCCATGCACCCGTCCCCATGCGCGCAACCCCATGCGCCAATGCTCCCCATGCACCCGTCCCCATGCGCGCAACCCCATGCGCCAATGCTCCCCATGCACCCGTCCCCATGCGCGCAACCCCATGCGCCAATGCTCCCCATGCACCCGTCCCCATGCGCGCAACCCCATGCGCCAATGCTCCCCATGCACCCGTCCCCATGCGCGCAACCCCATGCGCCAATGCTCCCCATGCACCCGTCCCCATGCGCGCAACCCCATGCGCCAATGCTCCCCATGCACCCGTCCCCATGCGCGCAACCCCATGCGCCAATGCTCCCCATGCACCCGTCCCCATGCGCGCAACCCCATGCGCCAATGCTCCCCATGCACCCGTCCCCATGCGCGCAACCCCATGCGCCAATGCTCCCCATGCACCCGTCCCCATGCGCGCAACCCCATGCGCCAATGCTCCCCATGCACCCGTCCCCATGCGCGCAACCCCATGCGCCAATGCTCCCCATGCACCCGTCCCCATGCGCGCAACCCCATGCGCCAATGCTCCCCATGCACCCGTCCCCATGCGCGCAACCCCATGCGCCAATGCTCCCCATGCACCCGTCCCCATGCGCGCAACCCCATGCGCCAATGCTCCCCATGCACCCGTCCCCATGCGCGCAACCCCATGCGCCAATGCTCCCCATGCACCCGTCCCCATGCGCGCAACCCCATGCGCCAATGCTCCCCATGCACCCGTCCCCATGCGCGCAACCCCATGCGCCAATGCTCCCCATGCACCCGTCCCCATGCGCGCAACCCCATGCGCCAATGCTCCCCATGCACCCGTCCCCATGCGCGCAACCCCATGCGCCAATGCTCCCCATGCACCCGTCCCCATGCGCGCAACCCCATGCGCCAATGCTCCCCATGCACCCGTCCCCATGCGCGCAACCCCATGCGCCAATGCTCCCCATGCACCCGTCCCCATGCGCGCAACCCCATGCGCCAATGCTCCCCATGCACCCGTCCCCATGCGCGCAACCCCATGCGCCAATGCTCCCCATGCACCCGTCCCCATGCGCGCAACCCCATGCGCCAATGCTCCCCATGCACCCGTCCCCATGCGCGCAACCCCATGCGCCAATGCTCCCCATGCACCCGTCCCCATGCGCGCAACCCCATGCGCCAATGCTCCCCATGCACCCGTCCCCATGCGCGCAACCCCATGCGCCAATGCTCCCCATGCACCCGTCCCCATGCGCGCAACCCCATGCGCCAATGCTCCCCATGCACCCGTCCCCATGCGCGCAACCCCATGCGCCAATGCTCCCCATGCACCCGTCCCCATGCGCGCAACCCCATGCGCCAATGCTCCCCATGCACCCGTCCCCATGCGCGCAACCCCATGCGCCAATGCTCCCCATGCACCCGTCCCCATGCGCGCAACCCCATGCGCCAATGCTCCCCATGCACCCGTCCCCATGCGCGCAACCCCATGCGCCAATGCTCCCCATGCACCCGTCCCCATGCGCGCAACCCCATGCGCCAATGCTCCCCATGCACCCGTCCCCATGCGCGCAACCCCATGCGCCAATGCTCCCCATGCACCCGTCCCCATGCGCGCAACCCCATGCGCCAATGCTCCCCATGCACCCGTCCCCATGCGCGCAACCCCATGCGCCAATGCTCCCCATGCACCCGTCCCCATGCGCGCAACCCCATGCGCCAATGCTCCCCATGCACCCGTCCCCATGCGCGCAACCCCATGCGCCAATGCTCCCCATGCACCCGTCCCCATGCGCGCAACCCCATGCGCCAATGCTCCCCATGCACCCGTCCCCATGCGCGCAACCCCATGCGCCAATGCTCCCCATGCACCCGTCCCCATGCGCGCAACCCCATGCGCCAATGCTCCCCATGCACCCGTCCCCATGCGCGCAACCCCATGCGCCAATGCTCCCCATGCACCCGTCCCCATGCGCGCAACCCCATGCGCCAATGCTCCCCATGCACCCGTCCCCATGCGCGCAACCCCATGCGCCAATGCTCCCCATGCACCCGTCCCCATGCGCGCAACCCCATGCGCCAATGCTCCCCATGCACCCGTCCCCATGCGCGCAACCCCATGCGCCAATGCTCCCCATGCACCCGTCCCCATGCGCGCAACCCCATGCGCCAATGCTCCCCATGCACCCGTCCCCATGCGCGCAACCCCATGCGCCAATGCTCCCCATGCACCCGTCCCCATGCGCGCAACCCCATGCGCCAATGCTCCCCATGCACCCGTCCCCATGCGCGCAACCCCATGCGCCAATGCTCCCCATGCACCCGTCCCCATGCGCGCAACCCCATGCGCCAATGCTCCCCATGCACCCGTCCCCATGCGCGCAACCCCATGCGCCAATGCTCCCCATGCACCCGTCCCCATGCGCGCAACCCCATGCGCCAATGCTCCCCATGCACCCGTCCCCATGCGCGCAACCCCATGCGCCAATGCTCCCCATGCACCCGTCCCCATGCGCGCAACCCCATGCGCCAATGCTCCCCATGCACCCGTCCCCATGCGCGCAACCCCATGCGCCAATGCTCCCCATGCACCCGTCCCCATGCGCGCAACCCCATGCGCCAATGCTCCCCATGCACCCGTCCCCATGCGCGCAACCCCATGCGCCAATGCTCCCCATGCACCCGTCCCCATGCGCGCAACCCCATGCGCCAATGCTCCCCATGCACCCGTCCCCATGCGCGCAACCCCATGCGCCAATGCTCCCCATGCACCCGTCCCCATGCGCGCAACCCCATGCGCCAATGCTCCCCATGCACCCGTCCCCATGCGCGCAACCCCATGCGCCAATGCTCCCCATGCACCCGTCCCCATGCGCGCAACCCCATGCGCCAATGCTCCCCATGCACCCGTCCCCATGCGCGCAACCCCATGCGCCAATGCTCCCCATGCACCCGTCCCCATGCGCGCAACCCCATGCGCCAATGCTCCCCATGCACCCGTCCCCATGCGCGCAACCCCATGCGCCAATGCTCCCCATGCACCCGTCCCCATGCGCGCAACCCCATGCGCCAATGCTCCCCATGCACCCGTCCCCATGCGCGCAACCCCATGCGCCAATGCTCCCCATGCACCCGTCCCCATGCGCGCAACCCCATGCGCCAATGCTCCCCATGCACCCGTCCCCATGCGCGCAACCCCATGCGCCAATGCTCCCCATGCACCCGTCCCCATGCGCGCAACCCCATGCGCCAATGCTCCCCATGCACCCGTCCCCATGCGCGCAACCCCATGCGCCAATGCTCCCCATGCACCCGTCCCCATGCGCGCAACCCCATGCGCCAATGCTCCCCATGCACCCGTCCCCATGCGCGCAACCCCATGCGCCAATGCTCCCCATGCACCCGTCCCCATGCGCGCAACCCCATGCGCCAATGCTCCCCATGCACCCGTCCCCATGCGCGCAACCCCATGCGCCAATGCTCCCCATGCACCCGTCCCCATGCGCGCAACCCCATGCGCCAATGCTCCCCATGCACCCGTCCCCATGCGCGCAACCCCATGCGCCAATGCTCCCCATGCACCCGTCCCCATGCGCGCAACCCCATGCGCCAATGCTCCCCATGCACCCGTCCCCATGCGCGCAACCCCATGCGCCAATGCTCCCCATGCACCCGTCCCCATGCGCGCAACCCCATGCGCCAATGCTCCCCATGCACCCGTCCCCATGCGCGCAACCCCATGCGCCAATGCTCCCCATGCACCCGTCCCCATGCGCGCAACCCCATGCGCCAATGCTCCCCATGCACCCGTCCCCATGCGCGCAACCCCATGCGCCAATGCTCCCCATGCACCCGTCCCCATGCGCGCAACCCCATGCGCCAATGCTCCCCATGCACCCGTCCCCATGCGCGCAACCCCATGCGCCAATGCTCCCCATGCACCCGTCCCCATGCGCGCAACCCCATGCGCCAATGCTCCCCATGCACCCGTCCCCATGCGCGCAACCCCATGCGCCAATGCTCCCCATGCACCCGTCCCCATGCGCGCAACCCCATGCGCCAATGCTCCCCATGCACCCGTCCCCATGCGCGCAACCCCATGCGCCAATGCTCCCCATGCACCCGTCCCCATGCGCGCAACCCCATGCGCCAATGCTCCCCATGCACCCGTCCCCATGCGCGCAACCCCATGCGCCAATGCTCCCCATGCACCCGTCCCCATGCGCGCAACCCCATGCGCCAATGCTCCCCATGCACCCGTCCCCATGCGCGCAACCCCATGCGCCAATGCTCCCCATGCACCCGTCCCCATGCGCGCAACCCCATGCGCCAATGCTCCCCATGCACCCGTCCCCATGCGCGCAACCCCATGCGCCAATGCTCCCCATGCACCCGTCCCCATGCGCGCAACCCCATGCGCCAATGCTCCCCATGCACCCGTCCCCATGCGCGCAACCCCATGCGCCAATGCTCCCCATGCACCCGTCCCCATGCGCGCAACCCCATGCGCCAATGCTCCCCATGCACCCGTCCCCATGCGCGCAACCCCATGCGCCAATGCTCCCCATGCACCCGTCCCCATGCGCGCAACCCCATGCGCCAATGCTCCCCATGCACCCGTCCCCATGCGCGCAACCCCATGCGCCAATGCTCCCCATGCACCCGTCCCCATGCGCGCAACCCCATGCGCCAATGCTCCCCATGCACCCGTCCCCATGCGCGCAACCCCATGCGCCAATGCTCCCCATGCACCCGTCCCCATGCGCGCAACCCCATGCGCCAATGCTCCCCATGCACCCGTCCCCATGCGCGCAACCCCATGCGCCAATGCTCCCCATGCACCCGTCCCCATGCGCGCAACCCCATGCGCCAATGCTCCCCATGCACCCGTCCCCATGCGCGCAACCCCATGCGCCAATGCTCCCCATGACTTCTCTCCTCCCTCGTACGCATCCACCTCCTTCTCCACCACGCCCCGCCCCGCGAGTTGCGCTGCCACGCGGTGCAGGCTGGCATGGGATGCGACCCCACCAGCACCACTCGCACGCTGGGCTGCACCCGCACCCACCACCAGCGAGTTCAATCAAACCCACTCGCCCCCCCATGCCAATCCGCCCTTCCCCATGCGCCAATGCTTCCCATCCCTTCTCCACTAGCACATATCCACCTCCTCTTCCACCACTACCCGCCCCGCGTATATCTCGGCGACTTGGTGCAGGCTGGGATGCGATCATGCGACCACACCAGTACCACTCGCACGCCGGGCTGCAGCTGCACCCACCCAAGACCAGGGATTTGAACCCACTCGTTCCCACAGGGCCATTCCCCCTCAATCCTCCCGGGGCCCTCCCCGCGTACCTCATATCCACCTCCTCTTCCACCACCACTCGCCCCGGGTGTTGTGCAGCAACGCGGTGGAGGCTGGGATGGGACCCCACCAGCACCACACGCACGCCGGGCTGAAGACGCACCCACGACACCAACGCTGCCAGCTGCCGCCTCCCCCGCCGCCCCGCGAACGGCCGCGGCGCCACGAACAGCTCCGCGAAAACGGCAGGAGTGGTAACCCGTTCGCTGGTGGAGTCTCGCCGGAATGGTTTATCCCGGTGGTCTGCCATTCGCGTGCGGGTAAACGGGGGGACTTTTGATTGGTTGCGATGACTCCAAGGATCGCGTGGCGACTGGCCGATTCGCACAGGCGAGTCAAGGCGGTCAACGAAGTCGTCCAATTCAGCGTGGCATTGAGCCTTCTCGAGCTGCCATGTGGCACTAAGCGACAGGAGAGTCAATCCGAGGGCCAGGATCCAGAGCAGCGGCAAACACGGAAGCAAAGGAATGTCGGAGGAGAAGGATTTGAAGCATTCGGTCCAACGCGGTGGGCCTTCCGGATTCGACGGCTGACGTGGAGGAAAGGAGAGCAAGGAGGTGCCACTGGAGGAAGAATTTAAGGAGGCGTTTAAGGAGAATGTATTCGCCGATAAGCTATTAGCGAAGGAGTCGCTAGCGAGTGGTTCACTCAGAGTGATGCTGAGGGCTGGTGAGTCGTAAGGCGGGATGATGGATTGAGAGGAAGCGCTCCGACGGGATAACGATCGGTGAATGTCCGCTTTTGGGTGCATGGTGAGTCGTCTCCAGGCCACTCTGAGAGGCTCATAACTATCTCAAGAGACTCATATTATCAGTGACGAACGTCAGTGATCTATGAAATGCATTGAACAGCTTGGCATTGAACGGCAATACCGAGGGCGGGTCCCGAAATATCACTCCCGACTCCGACTAGCATGCAAAGGTGTAAGGAATTTTCTCGACATTCCTTGGCGCGCCCTGCAACATCGCGTACAGCCGCAGCCGTTGTTCGCCCGTTACTGCTAATGGGGCTTCGCCGACTTCGCGCCCACTGTTTCACCAAACCTCGCATTGCTGGCCCGGCCATGTCGGCTTACGCTTCGGACTAGCCCGAGCCTTGCTGCCAGCGTAGCACTAGCTAGCTCGCACGCACCGCGTTACCGTTTGCATGTTTCGCGTATAAATGTTCGCTCATGCCTTTGCTCACATTTTGTACTTGTTTGACACCTTAGTGCAATCCTCGCTACCTCGATTCATTGCACCCGTAACACTTGGTATTCAGAGCCTCTTTCTCTTCGGACCGCGCATCACCCATGGTCCCATCTTTCTTTCTCTTTGGAAGCTGTTCACCCTTGCACATTCTAAAAGTTTTGTGAACCCCATGTTCCTTCCAGCTCATGTATCCTGATTATATTTCCAGACAATGTAGTGTATGTATCACGTCCGAATATTTCTCTACCGTGTCGGTTGATGTTTCCGAATTCGTGAGAAACCCGGTTTCGCGATTCGGAAGCCCGAAGGTTTGATTCGCGAACAATTCTCTCACCACGCGAAGAAAATCACTTACCCGCACTTCTCCGCGAAGCTCGAACGAAATTGAGGTGGTGCGCCAGATGAGTCGCATGCGTGCGCAAAGCTCCGCGATTCGAACAGTCGTTCTGGTCAACGAATAATTGCACCGAAATATTTCCCCCCACCCACACAGTCCAGGAATTTCCTCAGGTGTTTTTGGAGGCAACAGAACAGTGCAGCCCCCTCTCGCACCACCCGGCGAGGTGAAGTCTCAAACCCAACAACACGGCAGCCGGTACCTCCAATAATTGTGACCTCGCAATTGAGCAACCTCCAATAATCGTGACTAGAGATCGAGCCGCCGCCAAAACTGCGACGTCAGTCCGACGATAATCAAATAGCGAGCCCGCAGGGAAGATTCCTGTGCCGGAAAAGCGGTCCGAGATTCGGGATTGCATCACAGACCAGTTAGTATCCGTGCAGTCCTGGTGACGTCGCACGCGCGCCTCGGATATACGTTACGTCCGAGCCGAGACGAGCTATGGGCCGCGAAACAGCCGAATTAAGCTCTGTATTCTCAGCGCTCTCCAGCTTGCGTATCGAGTATAAAGTAACAATGGTGTCTCCACGTTATACGCTCGATAGCGCATCCGTCTCGCGCATTTGTCTGATTTCTAGTCGCGTTCCATCGTCGGACACACTTTGTCGTCGCATCGACGCGCTATCTCGGTGCCATCCCGCTGCCGCCGGTCTTGCAAAGAGTCTCCCCAAAACTTACCGTCTTGGTCTGTCATTCCACCATTCACAGACTCTCCGGTTCGCTTGATTCACAGCACTCATGGGACCAACGATGGGTGCATTTCCACAAGATCGACCCTTACCTTTCTGGTCGCACTCATAGCGATGCTTGCAGCGGTTTCCCACGCCCTCGGCAGCAGCGAATCAAGCGTAGGAACACCTACAATGGCTGGGCTGAATTCTGGTATTCCTCGGAGGGCAATGCGGCGTGTAATGCGGGGGCCGAGCGACCAGATCTCCGTAGCTCCCTCGGATACGCCCGCATTGCGGCCGAACAGCGCCTCTGCATCTCCGGCGGGGGAACAGCAACCTTCACCTCTCCCTTCCGCCACCGATTCCGCCGTCCCTCCTGGGGCAAGGCTCATTCCCCTGCGTGGCGCGAGATCTGCGCGAACCGCCGAGTCGCCGTACGCAATAGTGCCAAATTCCACTGTAACGACCCAGAGCTCGTCCGCGACGCGGTTCGTCCCTCTCAGGCTGCGCCTCGGAAAGCTGCAGCACCAGCAGCAGCGGCGCGAGCTGGAGGGTGCGACGGACATTGCGAACCAGGGCGGCCCGATACTGGCCTACCCGAAGGTGTACTTAATCTATTATGGGACCTGGCCCGAGGGGGCCGGGCAGGATGTGATTGAGAATTTCATAAACTCGCTGGGCGGGGATACGGGGAACCAGGGGGACCAGACGGGGGAGAACAGTGTGCGACGGTGGTGGGACATTTCGACCAACTACTACCAGAATAACGACGACGGCTCTCAGACGTTCGTCAGTCCCGAGGTGAGTGTGTTGGTGCCCCGTGCCCCCGTGCCCCGTGCATTTGTTTTTGTCGGAGAAACGGTGGGGGAAACCGGTGATGTTTGCTGTGCACTTACAAACATGCAGTGGTCGCCTGCTATTCCTCTCACATCGCATCATTTTCGCTTCATGTGCTTATACTATTCGGGCTCACTACTTTTACACCCGACACCCTCACCCGAATCCGAGTCAGATCGTGCTGGGCGGCACGGTGACAGACGAGGGATCCAACGGCTGGGAATCCATCGATTTGGGGACGAGTGAGTCATGCGTTTATCGCGGATTTGGCCGCCACCCAAAAAAGGCTGTCGTGGGTTTTTCTACGGAAAAGCGCACAGAAAGTCCCACAACACCCCCAAACCATCCCGCCAATTTTGTGACATTTTGGTCACCCCCGCGGTGGCCCCCTGTCCCGTCGCGCCGCACATCTCGAGCCGCATTTCACAATTCACATCGGACCGCCTTGCCATTATGCGCGGTACACACAAACATTCCAGACGCGTCGCTGAACTGGGCAACCTGACTACAAGCAGCCTCCACATAAGGACACTGCATTTCGGAGTACTTTACACGAAACATGTACATTATACTTATGCATAAAACACACGCAATACCCATAACTCTCTGCATGTAATGTCGTAAGCTTATTCAACCACCTATCAACACGTCACAATCAACACGTCCGCGAGCGCGTCCAAGTGACACCAATATACCCTACTCACACAGCAGAAACTTGTTCAGAAGCATGACCTTCCTGTTCACATACGACTTGCACACATGCACCACACGCTTAATGCACTCCACATCCACCACGGAGTAGCGTGTGGCAACCCGTCCAGGCGACAGCTGCACGCATGTTGTCATGGGGCACAAGCCCGCCGCCTCATAGTACTTCACATAGGCGTACCTCCCCTCCGTTCCGTCATCGTCAGTTGCGCGGAACACGCACAGGCATCGTGCGTACCACTCCTCCTTATCCTTCTTCGCCTTGACTGCAACGTCCGAAAACCACTTCTCGGACGGGCTGGCCTTAACAAACGTGCCTCTTGCGACGAGCTCCCCACCACGTGTCCGCGGAATGGCCACCGCCGTGTGGACCTGTACACACGGCGGTGCACACGCAGCTCAGCGCATGTCATAACGAATTGGCCTTCCGACCACCCCCCTGCCATGTCATACAACAGGAGGGCTCACTTTACACGCACCGCACAGGGGGTTCACGACCGTTCTCACCTTGATGGCCGTGTTCGTCACTCTAGCAGCAGCCAGGCACCTGCCAAGCTCCTTCATGTCTGATCCCAGCGCCTCCTTGTACGCCCACAGCACTGCGTCCTCCTCGTCGCTTACGTCCGCATTCCTCGACTTCCGCGTCAGGACATACGTCTGAAGCCGTACTGCCTGAACAGGTAGGACTCCCCCGTTATGCACACATTACGCCAAAGTAAACAACCCATGAGTGCAACACCCATACGAGTCACTCATAATGAGCAGGACACCAACACACTCCCTGCGTGACACGACCTTTAACCCCACCACGCTGTACCTCGATATGATATCGCCTCCATCTCGGGCGACTCCATCCACCTCCCTCAGAAGTCATTCCACATCCCGCAGGCCTCTAATCCCCCCCGCTTGTGGCAGCTCACCTCACGCAGCGCACTGACGTACTGCCTTCCTCCCCCTGCGAGGGCCGCCACCTCGCGCGTGATCTCCCGCTGCACCTCCTCTTCCACGATGCGTCGGGGTATGTCCTTCCAGTTGCTACCGCGCACGGGGACCTTCACAGTGCCCTTGTGAGTGTGCTCCCACAGATTCGTTGAGTACTCGTACGGCATCCCGCGGAGCATGATGCCGTCAATGAGATCGGTAAGTTCCACTCGGACGCTTGCGACTGAAATGCCTCCTGCACTGCGTCCAGCATCCTGCACAACGACACCAAGACCATACATGATACGGCGTCCTCCGAACCTACCATCCAGGCAGGCCCCAGATCCACCGTGCACAAACAACACCCCTCGTGCAATAACGGCACAACCAATTAGTCCTAATCACATTCCACACGCCACATAGGCCCCCCGGACAGCACCACATTCCACACCCCACATAGGCCCCCCGGACAGCACCATAGCCCACAAATGACGACACTCACAAGTACGCATTCTGCCGCACGTCACTCAGTGTCCTCTCGGTGTGCTTGTTCACGCCGAGCAGCGACTTGTAGAACACCGCGTACCTCCTGAACGCCCTCACCTCCTTGAACCGCTGCTCCTTCACCTCAGGCTCGCACCCTTCCATGTTGTCCGCAATGAGTATCGGCATGACCTGCATCATGCCCCTGTTCTCGAACGCCGCGTAGTTTGCCCGTGACTTGAACCAAGAACTACCTCCCGGGATCCTGACCACCGTGATGCGAGTGTCCTTCTTCTGCTCCTTCTTCCGCCTGCACATGGACACCCCTCAAGCCTTAGTATGAAGTCATTTCATTGCTACGCCTTCTCAAACGACATACACACTCAACACACACCTCTCCAGTTCCCCCCTCTCGGGCTTGCTGAGTGGAGAAATGAACTCGTCCACCATGTGGCCAAGGAACCCCCCGTCCAACACATGCAGCACGTCCGCCACGCAAGCAAGAAACACGTTCCCCCAGGTTGTCTCCGAGAAATTCCACCTCTCCAGAACCGTCTGCCATCAACCCAACCCCACAACACTCACGACCATGAACCCGTACCTCCGCCATTAAAGGACAACACTCTGATACCGCCCCATAACAGAGACCTACGTCGCAGCTGACCTGCACGGGGTGGGTCGACCATCTCCTCCAGATCTTGTCAGCCTCGTCCTTCGTGGATGCGTTCTGCATCCACGACACCACCTTCCGGTGCAGTTCCACTGTCCGGACAGTCGTCTCCCTATTCAGGTCTGCCAGACTGGTTTTCTTGATGTAGCACGAGCTGCACGGCCTGTGTGAACCCTGCTGCATTGTCACCGTGCACCTGGACGACTCGGGGTAGTCCCCCACCTCTGCAAACAAGCACGGGAAACCCTTCACCACTTGGCCTTGCGCATCTGTCACGTATATGAACTTCAGCTCGGCACTGCATCACACGAAGCACGTAGCGACATCAATGCATTTCCTTCCACGCATACATGACACTCAACACCACCATGCCACTGCCGTCTCACCCTCGGTGCTCTCTCAACAGCGGCTCGAATATGATCGCCATCGCCTCCTGAAACACACGGGTCTTCTCGGTGGACGTGGCCCAGTCAGGTGGGAAAGGCAGCAAGCCTGCCATGACATGGCCCGGCTCTAACCATCGCAGTGCCTCCGGAATGTTCGCCAGACTTATAAGTACGGGCCACGCTTGTAGCCTTCCGTTGGCACTCGCGTGTGTACTGTCGCTGTACACAATCACCCCCAAGATGATCCCCTGCTGCTCCGGCCGGTTCGCATGTGCCTGTTCCATCCATACCCCTGTGTCTGGGGTGCTAAAATGTCTCTTTTCCGCGCTGTCCTCCTTATCCCTACGCGGCTCCGTGACAAATCCCTCGGTGTGTACGAAGGTCCGCACCAGCTTCTGCACCAACTGCACAACACATCAATAGACAAAAACACCCTCAGCCTTACACCACGACGCCATGCCATGTGTTTCCCCACTAATACCGCCCCACATGTCTCTAGCCCCATACTCACTAGCTCCGTGTTCCTGAAATGAAGCGGGAGGTTTGCCATCTTTCCACCAGGACCGTAGGCTTTGATAACGGTCTTCTGTCACGGCACAAGATCTGGTGGAGCCATCAACTTCCCGAACCGCCTCACGTCGACGAAGTTCATCCACCGTCGCACATCTCGGACCGAGAAGCGGGGGTTCGCGAAGATGTTAAGCAATCTGTTCACCTCCCGTCTGGAAAGGTCAGCGTCCCGAAAAAAAATGTACAGCTCCGTCAGCGTGTCGAAGCCGTCGTCAATACTACTGAACTCACTTTGCGCATCTTCGTTCTGCGCAATATCATCAGCTAGCGGATCCTCACTTTCCACATGCTGGCGAGCGCTGCCGCTTGCCTCCCCAACAGCATCGGAATGACGGGACCTGGCAGGTGAAGGGGGGCGTTCGCCTCGCATGGCTCGTACTGCCTCTCTGTACGCCTCTACGAGCCGCTCCGCCCTAGCGTGATTAATCTTACGTCTGCATCGTATGTTGCCCGCCAAGTGCGACTGCAGCGTATTATCATCCACGTGCTCGGCCCCGCACGCCTCGCACGTGTTGCCCAGCATTGTTACTACTAGTGCTAGGAAACCCTAACTCCACTCGGGTATCAACCAACAGACCATGTCATTGCTGTTCAATTTTCCGGACGTGTGCAGTGCTACCATCTGCCTACGCAACGTTCAGTTCTCCGGTACGAAACGCGAACGTGTTTCGGTCTGTGGAGTACGGGACCAACCCATTCTAACCGTACCACCAACCCCCTGTTGCAACGTGTACATGTGCCTGTTCCGCCATCTGTTGTACAAGTGCGATATGGTGTGCCCCGTTTTGCTGTTTGACGCACACAGTTACGAGCATAACTTTGTTTCGCGACACGTATAATTCAATCGTTCACCAATAACATAAATCAACAGACGTTTGTTCAACGTACCACAAGTCCCTCTTACACCATTCCAGTTTAAAGACGTCATTCTTGGGAAGTTAGCTGAGCGACAGCGATCACTCCAATGCTGCCCTAGCATCTTCCCCTCGTCACCATCCGCACAACAAAGCATTTATAGTTGCATATTCGCATGCTACGTAGCGTCGTGTCCCACGCATTAACAACCGCATCCCCGATAGCATGCTTATTCGCCGCGTTCGAATCCTCCATGCTGTACATGACGCAGAGAAAAGCGTGGGTTCGTTATGGTCCGCAGCAGCCCGTTTACGTCGCTGCTTGTCAGTCCTCCGGTGTGGCAACGGCTAATCATCCAAGTCAGCTGCTGAACACCGCTTTGTAATGAATCCTCTTCGCCAGGCTCAACCGCCACGTAATCTGCTCACCGAGATTCCGCCGGGGACACTAATCGCGCACGAAACGCGGCGACCGCGCTCCGGCCGGCACAATGAACACTGTGGGCCCGGTGCGCTGTGAGCGCTACTTCATTAAGTAACACAGCGCCGCATCGTTGGCACTCGATGGTCGCCATGTGTACTACTGACGTGAGTCGTCGCTGAGAGTATATGCCGATATTGTCACGTTGCTCCAGGGCTGTCACGCTCAGGACTATTAGGGTTGAACTGACATCAACATCTGGACAAGGGGAGGTAAATAGAGACTAGAGGATCAGCAACGACATTCATGTATTCTCGTTGCGGGCGTGCGGTATTACGCACACTCCCTACCATCCGCGATGCTACACACAAGTGTATACAGGTATCGTCATGTAAGGTTTTAACGCATACGCTAAAAGCGAGGTTATACCTGATGAACGTCGTCCAAGCCTTCAAAACACTGTACTACATGTGCGCGGTGCCGCGTGGTATCGGCCAGGATGTAAGTTTCATACCCGCCAATCGCATCTCTGGAACAATTTATAGTGAACCATCCAAAAATCACACAGAGTGTTGCAAAAGCATTCCTGGCGGAGTGTATAAGCCAATCCCGCATCAGTGTCTTCCATCTGTCCACACGGCGAGTTCGCCTGTGGACACTAACGTGCCTCATCCTCCGGGTGTACTCCAATCCCTTTCTAGACAAATCGGTGTCCACCAGCTGTGTATGTGACGTGTCACCCAGCTATCCATTGGGCTGGAGGAGGATATTGTCCCGATGGTGGACACTCTGGTGTCCACCAGCTTGCACGCCTCCGTCCAGTCACTCGCTTACCTGTGAGTCTTATAACTCTGCGTCCACCCTTGGCGTGCAGCATTCGCGCATCCGCCATGGCTGCATCGGTTCGTCTTCTGGAGTCATTTCAAGCCCATCCGGACGACGTGTTCTGCTTTGCGGAGACCCCCTTGCTCGCGACGACGCTGCCTTACAGCAGTAACTTCGACCCTGAATCGGGATACAAGCCAAATGTCGAGCTGCGCGTATGTATCCTTTTCAACGCATCGGGGAGTATGGTTCTGCCACCTACCGTGGTCAGGCGACGCAATTGCGCTCGCCCGTACCGCCAACTCCTCCGTGATGGCGACCACGTGCATCTTCGTCAGACGAAGAACGGAGAGTTGTCCGCAGAGGTATGACGTACTGTTTTTCGTAGGACGCTCTCTGTGCACGTCGTTGCGTCCGTTTCGCAAGGTCTTACCTTTCCCGTACGGTTTCCCATTCGCAGTTCTTCTCCGAGTACATTGACAACTTCAATGGGGACCGTCTCGCACACAACAAGACGGCACTTGTGCTCGTCTCCAGCAGCAAGCATCGCTCTCTGGACGCGTCCTGTAAGGAGGTTGTACTGTTTGGTTTCCGCGTACAGGAGCTGTCCAACACCTTAATAGTAAACATTAGTGGTGTTGTGGATCCAGTCAACTTTCCGTGGTTCAACGGTCTTCTCGCGATGTTCAAAACCATTTTCCGCAGCATTTACTTGTCCTTCGTAACCACTGACGAGGGTTGGCGTGCGGAGGGGATAATGCCTCTTATTCTGTACGACAACTTGCTGGTCTGGGTGGGAAGGTCATGGCGCCATACTCCGCCGTGGGCGGTGCATCTCACGTGGGCCCGGTCTGGCGTTATGCCCCTGGCGTGGCGCGAGCTCCTCCACCTAACCGAGTACCCTCCTACGGCCGTGACTCGCGAGCCCCTCATCAAGCAGTTGGTACAGCTGCAGCTCCTAATCGACCGTTTCGCCAAAGGTGCACGGGGCTTCATGGGCGCGACGGACTATGCCGCGTGTGACGCCCGCCTGCTGTCGTCCGTGGGACGGGCGACGCCCATGGAGGAGTCTATCGCGTCAGGACCGGCAGTACTGCTCACCATGCCTGAAGGAACAATTTCCCGTGACCCTAGGTTCCGACGCCGCGTTGTGCGCGCGGTGACGCAGTCGTTTGTCCGCACTGCGGAGGTCATGGGCATTAGTCCGCGCGACGTCCCGGAGCAAGTGGGGGTCGAAAACGACGAAGTGGTTGAGCGTCTAAGACGGACTCCCCTAAAACGCGCACGCCGTGCGACCACCGGACCTGGGAGTACGGTTTGCAGTGACAGCTCTAGCGTCGACACAGCCGGCCTCCTCTGCTTTAGCTCACCTATTGTTTCCTCCGTCAGTGGTAGTAGCTATTAGCGATATGCTATGGTTCATCTACTACCCGTGTGTGGCCGGTGGCCGTGTGGATAGTACTATATATGGATAGGTTTGTGTGTTTTTGAGGGTTTTAAATTTGTGTTTGCATGTCGAAACTCGCTATAAAAGAATCAGAATCCATCCGCAGAATCCATCCACACCGGCAGGCTGGTCCGATTTTGCAGGATGTGGCATGGTACAGCTCGGCAAATGTTGATTGGCTTAGGCTGATGTGCGGCGGCTTCGCTATAATCTGCATTTTCCGCGCTGTGCAAGTCTGTGCTGATTTTGTTTCGTAAATACACTCTTATCACACAAATTTCCATTGGATAGCACGAACTTCAAACGTAAGCATCGGATCCAGAACTCTCCATTTTGGCGCGCTATAACCACCATCAGACACGTGGAAGCGTGATGTGCTGTCTCTCCGCTACCGGAGTCTGGCGGACCGGCAATCGGTCCCCTTCACCTCCCTCCTATTGCACCTCAACGGCCAAATGAGTCCGTGTAGGGGATAGATCAGCTGGACATAAGTCTCATGCTTCTGCCTGTCCTTTCTAACTCGCATCTGTCCAAATCCACTCCGTCTACTGACAGTTGCGTCCTGCACTATGCCGAGAATTCGTGGACGAGGTGTTAAGCGCGAGGATAGGGAAGGGTCTCCGCCACGCGGTCCTCACGTCACGGCCCTTTTGAACCGTATGCTTACTCGCCCACTTGGAACGGTGACTAATGACCATGATGCAGGCGTGCAGAAACGCGCGGGTGAGAAGCGCGAGCCCCGGTCATCTGCCTCGGGGTGGAACGTCGGAGGCAGTGGGTCGCCAGTAGACGACCAGCCAGACGACTTGATCAAGAGGCTTCGAGATCCGGCTGCGCGTCGAGATTTCAAAACTCTCTCCCTCTTAGGCCCTCACGGGGTTGGATGTCAGATCACCGCGAAGGATGCGCTAACTACCGCAGACGGGAAAGATCTAGCCGACACCATCGTTGACTTCCACAACATGTTAGTGATAACACGTCGTTGTACGGGCGTGGTTTTGTCCTGGTGGCGCAAGTATCTGACCATTGATTTGGGTGTTGTGGTCGCGCATGCAGACTCCTAAACATCCGACATCCGAAACTGAAGGACGGAAAGTCTTGGTTCCCGCTCGACACCAAATCCTTCGTGTACGCTACGCAACTGAATAAGACATGGCCTATGGGTGGGTCTCCGTGTATTTTCGACGTGGACTACGTGGCCATACCTATCATTGCAAGGTGGGTGTAAAATATGGACGCATGTATATCCTGGCACACCGGTCACATATCGGACCTCATTTTCCTGGCCTGCCCTCTGCTGCCTGGACAGGAGCCACTTCTCGCTGGTCATAGCCCTTAACCTTCGGGACATGTCGTCGGGCAAACGTGGCGACAGGGTGACGGAAGGTGTCAAGCTGATTCATTATGACAGCAGCGGCATGCACGCCAGGGACCCGTCTATCATCGAGGGTGTGAGGAAGTAAGTGCATACTGTTATTGTGCATCCTGTTGTACGGCGATGCATGACGCAGATTCGACTCACTATCTCGTCTACATGACACAGGACACTGCTTATGATCCACGAGACGCAACTGCCAACAGACAACCCTGGCAAGGCTGCTGCGAATGTGCGGGAAGCTAAGCACATTGTCATACCAGTAAGATTTGTTTCCCCGTTTGAAATCCGCGCTGTTATGGCGAACCGATGTAAGGTGTTGGCATGCTGTCATGATTTGCCTTCTGACGACCCTTTCCCACTATATCATCCTGGCAGAAAGAAGTGATTCCGCAGCAGACCAACGACAAGAATTGTGGGGTCTTCGTGTGCATGTACATAAAAGCCCTCGTGAGGTCGGACTTCACCACGGTTCGCAAGTGGGTGTCATGCGACGGTGTTACGGCGAAAGACTTCAGACGCGGCATGCGCGCCGATGTATGCAGTCTCGCCGCTGGAGAGCTGATGGTGCAACTGCTGATGGAGGGGGTTTTGGTGCCCCTTCAGCCGATTCCTGTCGTCGGTGACGGGGGGGTGCTGCTGTTTCCAAGGGGAGATGACGTGCGCCTGGAACTGGCACGGCTCTCGCGTGAGCGAACCAACATGGAGCTGGACGGGTTCGTGATGGCCTCGGCGATCACGAGCATATCCAGGGCGTTGGGGTACAACCTAAATGAGCTCCGGGCAGCATGTGCTCACGAGCTGGGCACAGGTGGGACGCCTCTACTCATACGATCACCAGCGGCTGAGAACTTGGCGGAGCGTCAGGCCCGCCAGGAGACGCTGGCCGAGATGCTGCACGAGACGCCAGAGCCATTACCTCCTTCGCCCGCGATATGGTCTCGCAAGCATCAGGATGAGACTGACGCGGCCCTCAAGGCGCGCAAAGAAAGCACGGAGATAAACGGCCCGGACACACCTGACACCTCACCAGGGAAGGGTCAAGTCGGTGAGATGCGACAGACACGGACTGCAGCACCGAGGGCAAAGGCGGGTGCTGGCATAGGGGAGAAGAAGAGGGGTGGCACGAGCGAGTACACTGGAGTCTGGTTTGAGACGCGTGTCAGGAAGTGGTGCACAAAGTTAACGGCCGATCCGAGCACATGCCGACAGATTCGGCTGGGCGCATACCAGAAGGAGGAGGACGCGGCTTACGCTTACGCCGCTGGAGCATTTGTGATACGGAGGAAGGACACCTTTCCCAAGGTCATGGAACTGAGCGCGGGTGAGATGGATGCGCTCGAGGGGTGCATTGAAGATGACGTGCGTCACCTCGTGCATAAACGGCAGTGGTATTGGTGGAGGGAATGGCGGAAGGCAATGGATGACATAGGGGTCAAGCCAGGCACACCTTTTGAGCTGGAGAAGAGTGGCAAGTCGAGCTCTCAGGCTCCCCGCCACGGCACTAGTGTGGACGCACCTGGGGAAGCGGGTGATGCGGATGGGGAGAGCGTTGGTGGTTCCCCTGGAGAGGGTTTGGCTGGTGAAGCTGACGACATGCGCACGCCCTGACTTGGCAGTGCATTGGTGTGGATGTAGGGTATTGTGTCTTGTATTTGTGTAGGTTTTTGTGTTCTGTACTGAATACGGAGATGTGATGTGAAGTTTTGTTTCGGGAACATTCATTTGATAAAATATAGTTACGCTTGTGTTTGTGTATGTTACGATGTGTTGCACGAACGTGAATGTGCGAGATGTAGGTGGGTGAGTTTGAAAGGCTGTGGTTTGGACACGAAGGACTCCAGAGTCAGACGGAAACAGGATATGGTTTGGTGCCTCCGTACGATTGGATGTTGGATTTCCGTCCGGAAGCTCCAATGCCACGTCATTGTCTGCCTAAGTCTGGACTCCGTCACCTTCAAGACGCTGGTTGAGCACAAAAGGTAGTACTAGCGTCATTCTGGACACCATCCGTCCAGTGAAGTCTGCCAAGATGGACAGTGGCAACGCCAGCATTCGAACGTCCAGGGAGGGGAAACGTCAGCGAGTGTCCAAGCCTCCCAAACACCTCACTCATTACGTGGTGCCAGGGACATCCAGGCGGCCTCCGGTGCCGAAGGCAGGTGGCGCGAGGGATAAGAAGGCGGTTGCACGTGCACCGACAAGCGTGACTTCTGATCGGTGTAAGTTGGGACATGGTGTTATTAATCCGTACGTCTTAACCTGATTTACTTGTATGAGTAGGACTCGATGGGTGAAGATGTCTATCGTCGGTTCTAACGATTGAACGTCACGCAATGTGTATGTGCAGCGTCCTCACCGGAGCCCAACCCGCCAGACGCACGCGAGGGCGAGAGCTCCGCGTCGCGTCGTACTGCGAACAATCGGCGGAAGGAAGGACCGTGCGCGTCTGTTGGCAATGGGAGCAAGGCTAGGCCCGAAAAGCGTCGCAAAGTATCGGACCTGCCTGGTGCGGAGGAAGAGGCGGACACGCCGCCACCGGAGCCCCAGCCCGAGTCAAGCGATGACAACCCGAACGAGGAGCTTCCGCGGGTCAATGCTGCTGCCGACGACGACGTCGAGGAGACTAATGAGGAACGCTCTGACTCGGCCCCCGTTACGAGGGTTGAGTTTGACGCTATGCGCAAAACCCAAAAGGACACGGCTGCGACCCTTGCGCGGCTCGAGACAGCGCTGCTGGCGTCTCTTGCCAACCACACTGCAAAGAAGCGGAAGAGGGACAATGCGCGCGGCGATTGCGGCAGGGAGACGAATGCAAGGAAGGGGCGTCGCGTTGCAACGCCGGAAGAGTCGGAACTGGACGAGGACGAGGTGGAAGAAGAGCACTGGAGGCACATGCGACATTCCAATTCGCCCGTTATCCAGCGCGCGCTGAAGTTTCTGCCGTCTAACAAAGGATGGAAGGCACGTGCTGTTTGGGTGTTTCCTCGGTTGCAAAGTTGTTTGGCACCGCAGGTCTCGTAGGTTGAACGGTGTCAATACAATTCTTTTGGGTCCTCGTCATGTGCAGGAGATATGCGAGCAGTTGCGTGTGCATCTCTTCATCGAGGCGGACAGCAAGTCCATGACGTTCTACCCGAGCAGCGCGGCAAAGACGGCGGCTTTGTGCGCCGTCATCGAGAACCTGCCCCTCCCTTTCGCCAGCCTGGCTCTGGCGGCCGACAAGGCTAGGCGCTCCGACCTCAACCGCACTCTGAGCGACTGGAAGACGGCGGCTGCTGGACGCGTGCGTGACATTGCGCTGCCGAGGCTGGGGCTTTTCCGAGACGAACGGGACGCTGGAAGCCCGTGGGCGGCACCTAGGGCTCGTTCGGCGGCGAGGGTCCGGGAGCGACTGGCGTTGACGTTGGATGGGGAGGGTAAGTCGCCTTCTGAAATGCACGGACTGTGTGTGTGACGCGGCCTGACAGTCACCTGTGTGTACGCAGAGGTTTTTGCTATCTCCAAGTGGAGCGAGGACCGCCGCGGCATGCCTTTTGCGTCTGGGGATTTCGCGGCATGTGCGCGCGCGGCTTTCAGGCCTCGTATGATTAACGGCACTGTGACGCTAAAGCTGTACCACATGGCGTGGCTCGAGCACGTGGTAAGGAATCCATAGTAGGCTATTCTCGTTCAAACATGGCACGACCCTGAATGTGCCCGGGTTCAATCCGAACACCCGCTTGTTACTTGTCTCGTGCAGGTGACGGATGCCATCCGCTTCTGGGAAACTCGCAAGGGAAGGCTGTCCAACTCTGCGGGTGTCAACGCGCAGATCGTGGACGGGCTCCGCGAGTGTGCACTGACGGACGTCATGGCGGCGGTCGATAAGTTCCAGCCGGCGTACGACGCCCCCACTTCATCGTGGGCATGGGGCCGCCATGGCCTGCGCCTTTCCTCCTGCGGCATCGAGCGCCAGGCGACAGCTGCGCCAGCTGGCAGCGAGAGCGGGAGGGAGGGTGACAATCTCTCTCTGAACTGAAGTGTCTGTGTGTGCATCTCGGCATTGGGAGGGGTTAAGACGTGTAATGTTGTGCCTAAGATGTTGTGGGTTCCGGTGCGTAGGATGCGAGTTTCAGTAGTGTTGGGTGTTGTGGAGTAGTACAGGTGCGTGGTTGTGTGGAGGATGTGTGTTCATTTGCTGTGCGAAGATTCGGGAATAATTAAATGTTTGTTGCTTTTGGGAACCGACGTGAACACCTTGCCTAACAACCCTATGTATAACCCTAGACACTGCATACGCGCAGCATGGATGAGTTCATGGCGATTGATGGTTGTGGTCGAATCGCGGTAATCGTGAGGAACGGTCGGATGTTGATATGACAGCGCGGCGGCGCGCCGTGTGGCGAGATGTACGGTTGTAGTGGTTGGCTGGGCCAGTGATGGACGGGCCAGATGTTGTGTAACCAGGTTATATGGAGATGAGTGAGAGGCTGGGCTGCGTCGCTATATATTTGGCGAGACGTAACATCCGGGATATGGTGGACGGCGATTGGCGGGCGCAGGAGGTATTTAGGGTCGCGCAGATTAGATGTACCTCGGTGCGCCGTAGATCTCAGAGCGATAGATGCAATGATGGTGTTCCAGGTGGCACAACGGAGGCCATTGGATCGCGGGCAGATGGTGGTTTGGATTCGTTTGGCTCTGCGCATCTGGGCCGTGTGTTGTTGCTGGTAACATCGTCCCCGTTCGACGATGTGATTGACGTGTACGGCTTAGATGTGGAGTGCGATTTTTTGGTTTAATGGCACGCGGATTGGCCGTCAATATCTGTTGGATGAACGGCCAGATGTGTTTCGCTGGTGGGTGGCGAACCCGCATTGGTGGAGTGGGTGTAATATTGACCGAACAGGTGTGGTCATATCGACGGCATGGACGGTAACATAGCGGGTGGAGATTGCGATACGTGGACGTGGGTCAGTCGTTGATGTGGAGTGCACAGTGGTGCATCTGGGCCGTCAATTATCATAGGGGGTCAGGACAAGTGTCGCTTCCAGATTTGCGGACGCATTGGGACACGTGGCGTACGTACTGTTGGTCTGTACACGAGTTGTTACGCGGAGCCGTAACTGTACTCCACGTGTGTGCTGACGTGTCCCCTGTGGTTTATTGTGATGATTCGGTGATATATAATTTACAGACGGTGTGGGTACATCTCAGTGGGGAAACAGTCATGTAGACGTGACTTGGCGTGTCACGGAAACGTGAGGGGTTTGTGACTTTTGGGGGACATTTCGGTGGTTGAGGAGTCACTGGCAACGTGACAGGCCTGTCTGGGACTTCCAGCCATGACTTTCCTGTGACCGAAATATGTTACGGGCAAGTCACATAGTTGTATTTTTTCGGTGAATTCCGGCCCTTGTAAAATCCGCGATGGTGATTTTTCTGCTGGAACCGCGCTGCTCGCTTCGTTGTCATGCTATGCCATCATTCCCTGTTGCCTCTCGTGTTTCAAACTTACTTCCTCAACCCCACCTTTTCACTCACCCCACCCATCCGCTTCCACCCCCCCATCCACTCCCCCCCAGCCCTTTCCTTCCCCCGCACCCTTTCATCCCAAACCCCTCCCCTTTCCCCCGCCGCTCCGTCCATCCCACCTTTTCTTCGCCAGTCGTCAGCACGCACGTCGGAACGGAGCTGCCCGTAGACACTGACGGAATCTATCTCGTTCTCACGAGTGCTGACGTCAAGGTTGACGGATTCTGTGACGAATTCTGCGGATTCCACACCTCTCATACTTTGGATTCGGGGGAAAATGTCGCTATTGGTTTCATCGGGCACCACGACCTGTGCTGCAGATACGGCGAGTGAGTGTCGGCTCCGTGTTTTACGAGGGTGGGTGAGAGAATGTGAAGGAACATCATTTCCCTTTCCAATTCTCAACTACTATTCCACCAACTCGACTACTCCTTTCAGCACCACAGCCCAAATCCATCACTTACCAACCGTATTCCACATCCCCAAACCCATCCAGCGTCACGCCCAATGGCATGCCAGGAATTGACGGCATGATCTCCACGATTGCTCACGAAATCACCGAGGCTGCTACCAACCCTGACGTCTCGTCCGGATGGATGGCCTCGGACGGCGAAGAGAATGCCGATATGTGCGCGTGGCAGTATGGAGATGTTTCACAGGACACTGATGGTGATGGTAATACGTATGACTACAACATGGTTGGGAACGATGGGATGCGGTTCATGGTTGAAGGTAACTGGGACCTGATTACTAATTCATGCCAAATTCAAGCACAGGATGATGGGTACTAGAACTGAAATGCTTATTGGCATGTCTTGTCCTGCTCCAACTCCTTGTTGGGAGGAGTACCTGCTATGGCTGCTAAGTCACATTCACGCCATGGCTTCATGTCAGTCTCAGTCAAGAATAAAGGGGTTTATTTTGAGTTTTGGACCCTGAATTTTATATCTGCATATGTACTTCAAGTATTTGTGTTATCCTTATGCTAATTATAGTAGTAAGAAGATTCTTGGTTTGTGTGCCACGTTTGCACTCATAAAAATAGAGCGTTCAGTTTGGCACCATTATCTCTAAACGAAACCAAAACTGTAACGACTCATATAGGCATAGAGCAGTGATAATCGCCATTCGCCATTTCTGCGACAGCTTTCTGACACCGTCGTGTCCCGCGCAGCTGCGCCCCACACACAAGCCCCGCTGGAGTGCTCGCTCCAGACCGCGAGAGCTTTCTGATCCTCCGCCATTTCACCGAAGTACCTCTAAGCCCTACTAGTTCCTTCGCGTGGTTATGCTCGGAGCTGCTCTCGTCGTAGCTCGGATCTCGCGTTCACACGTTGGCCTGATAGCAGTCGGCAACCGTTCTTGGGGGTTCATATGATTGGGATTTGATATGCTGTTTTAAAAACAGGGAGCCTGAATATTGTAGCTATGGTCGCAATGGTGTATGTTTGAGATTGCGAGCCATCGGGGACATCCACGGTCGACCGCGAGTGACGGTGAAGGCGGTTTGTGTACGAAGCAAGGAGATAATCAGGCATGATCTAGGATCCAGATCAATTTGATTAGCTAAACAACGATCTAAATCAGTGACACGAGCGTCAAGCGTCGTGACCGTTCCTCGTTGATCGTAGAGCGTCGACCGTCGATCGTCGCGATGCACGGGCGACCGCGAGTGACGGTGAAGGCAGAGGGCAGCGCGGCGGGACAGCAGAAGGCGGCGGAGTCGAACAAGAAGGCGCTTCGGCTGCGCGCCTTGCAGGAGAAGGTGCTGACGTGGCACCAGCAGAACGTGTGAGTGGCTGAGGGGAACGCTAACATACCACTGGTAAGGCGGCTTGCGTAAGTGGCATTTTGCAGAGATCAAACTTGCACGGAGCTTTTGAGTCGACTCGAGAGTCATCAGGGTTTGCAGGGTGCAGTGCCGTGCACCTCAGCTCCCCGCATCGCGTTTCCATGGATTTACCGCAAAGAAGCTCCCCCCCACACCCCTCCTCCTCCCTCCACCAGCCAGCGCTGCTCTGCTGGAGCAGAGCAGCGTGTACGTGTACGAGTACGAGTACGAGTACGTGTACGTGTACGAGTACGTGTACGTGTACGAGTACGTGTACGTGTACGAGTACGTGTACGTGTACGAGTACGTGTACGTGTACGAGTACGTGTACGTGTACGAGTACGTGTACGTGTACGAGTACGTGTACGTGTACGAGTACGTGTACGTGTACGAGTACGTGTACGAGTACGTGTACGTGTACGAGTACGTGTACGTGTACGAGTACGTGTAAGTTTACGTGTACGTGTACGTGTACGTAGCATAGATCTACCACAAAAAGGCCTTCCGTCCCGCTCCCTCTTTCCCTCCCCACCCCCACTGCCCACCCTCTGCCAGTTCTATCCCCACCAGTTATTCGCCCGAGGCACTAGCCGCCAGCGCTGCTCTGCTGGAGCAGAGCCTCGACGTGTACGTGGCGTGGAACTATTCAAGAACGTGTACGCCTCCCCCTTTCCCTCCCCCGCCCCTTGTCCCTCTGCTGGAGCAGAGCCTCGACGTGTACGTGGCGTGGAACTATTCAAGAACGCTTGCACTCGAGGTGTGGAACTACCGCGAGGAGGCTTTCCACAAGAAGGCTTCCCTTCTTTGGCTGCCCTCCCTCCTGCCTTACCACTTCCCATCAGATTCTTGCTCGAGACACTAGCCGCCATCTGCCCCTCATTCATTACTAGCCGCCATCTGCCCCTCATTCATTACTAGCCGAGCCGCCAGCGCTGCTCTGCAGGAACAGACACTCAATGTGTACGTGGCGTGGAACGGAACTACCGCAAGAACGCTTCCCCCTTCCACCTCCCTCTCCTCCCTTTTTCCTCTGCAGGAGCAGAACCTCGATGTGTACGTGGCATGGAACTATTCAAGAACGTGTACGCCTCCCCCTTTCCCTCTCCCCCGCCCCTTGTCCCTCTGCAGGAGCAGAACCTCGATGTGAGGTGAGGGTGTTTTTGAGACGTCTCAAAAACACCCTCACCTCACGCAGAACCTCCATGTGTACGTGGCGTGGCGTGGAGCTACCTCTTTTTCCCCACCTAAAAAAGGCCTTCCCCCCTCCCCCCCCTCTTCCCTTTTTCTCCTGATTTCAGCTACTCACCCGAGGCTCTAGCAGTCAGCGCAACTCTCCTAGAGCAGAACCCTGACGTGTATGTGACGTGGAACTACCGCAAGAAGGCTCCCTCCTTCCTTCTCCTTCTCCCCTCCCTCTTTGCCTTTCAGTTACTCGCCAGAAGCACTAGCCGCCAGCGCTGCTCTCCTAGAACAAAACCCTGACGTGTATGTGACGTGGAACTACCGCAAGAAGGCGTTTGCCCACCGATGCGGTGCTCTGGAGGCAGGGGAGGGTGGGAGCAGGGAGGGGAAAGCGGTGCAGAGGGGTTCGGAGGTGAAAGAGGGGGAGAAGGAGGCTCAGGGGAAAGAGGGGCAGGGGGAGGGGGGGAAAGAGGCGCAGGGAGAGGGGGTATCAGGGGAGGGGAAGGTTGGAAGGGATGGGGCAATGGGGGGGGCGGAGAGTGCGGGAGGGAGGGACGGCAATGGGGGGGAGAGTGAAGTTGGGGGAGAGAATGATGGGAAGCAGGGAGACGAGCAGGAGAGGCTGGAACAGGAGAAAGAGGAAAGGGCGAGGAGGGAAGAGAAGGAGAGAGAAGAGGAGAGGAAGATGGAGGAGAGGAAGATGGAGGAGAGGAAGATGGAGGAGAGGAAGATGGAGGAAGCAAAAGGAAAGCTGGCTGACGAAGAGCTGAAACTGGTGAGTGGTGGGAGTGAGTGATGGTGCAAGTGCCACAACATACGAATTTGCGAGCGCTACACCAAGTCGCGCTTGAGAATTCCCAAAATCCGATAGAACTGATTCGCTACACTTACCAAACCCAAGCGGACTTTGAGTTGAACCTTCCTCAGACCCCCCCTCTCAAACCCTCCGTGTATCTCACTCCCCCTCCCTTCCGGACTCTCCCTCACACGCTCACAACAGATAGAAGCAGCATTACGGACCAACCCCAAGTGCTACGGCGCCTGGCCTGGCACCACCGCAAGAGCCTTCTTGAGTCACCTCAGAGATCTATCCTTTAACTCTCTCCGTTCCTCCCCTCCGCCCAAACACACACAACAGATAGAAGCAGCGCTACGGCGCCTGGCCTGGCACCACCGCAAGAGCCTTCTTGAGTCACCTCAGAGATCCATCCTTTAACTCTCTCCGTTCCTCCCCTCCGCCCAAACACACACAACAGATAGAAGCAGCGCTACGGCGCCTGGCCTGGCACCTCCGCAAGAGCCTTCTTGAGTCACCTCAGAGATCTATCCTTTAACTCTCTCCGTTCCTCCCCTCCGCCCAAACACACACAACAGATAGATGCAGCGCTACGGCGCCTGGCCTGGCACCACCGCAAGAGCCTTCTTGAGTCACCTCAGAGATCTATCCTTTAACTCTCTCCGTTCCTCCCCTCCGCCCAAACACACACAACAGATAGAAGCAGCGCTACGGCGCCTGGCCTGGCACCACCGCAAGAGCCTTCTTGAGTCACCTCAGAGATCTATCCTTTAACTCTCTCCGTTCCTCCCCTCCGCCCAAACACACACAACAGATAGAAGCAGCGCTACGGCGCCTGGCCTGGCACCACCGCAAGAGCCTTCTTGAGTCACCTCAGAGATCTATCCTTTAACTCTCTCCGTTCCTCCCCTCCGCCCAAACACACACAACAGATAGAAGCAGCGCTACGGCGCCTGGCCTGGCACCACCGCAAGAGCCTTCTTGAGTCACCTCAGAGATCTATCCTTTAACTCTCTCCGTTCCTCCCCTCCGCCCAAACACACACAACAGATAGAAGCAGCGCTACGGCGCCTGGCCTGGCACCACCGCAAGAGCCTTCTTGAGTCACCTCAGAGATCTATCCTTTAACTCTCTCCGTTCCTCCCCTCCGCCCAAACACACACAACAGATAGAAACAGCGCTACGGCGCCTGGCCTGGCACCACCGCAAGAGCCTTCTTGAGTCACCTCAGAGATCTATCCTTTAACTCTCTCCGTTCCTCCCCTCCGCCCAAACACACACAACAGATAGAAGCAGCACTACGGCGCCTGGCCTGGCACCACCGCAAGAGCCTTCTTGAGTCACCTCAGAGATCTATCCTTTAACTCTCTCCGTTCCTCCCCTCCGCCCAAACACACACAACAGATAGAAGCAGCGCTACGGCGCCTGGCCTGGCACCACCGCAAGAGCCTTCTTGAGTCACCTCAGAGATCTATCCTTTAACTCTCTCCGTTCCTCCCCTCCGCCCAAACACACACAACAGATAGAAGCAGCGCTACGGCGCCTGGCCTGGCACCTCCGCAAGAGCCTTCTTGAGTCACCTCAGAGATCTATCCTTTAACTCTCTCCGTTCCTCCCCTCCGCCCAAACACACACAACAGATAGATGCAGCGCTACGGCGCCTGGCCTGGCACCACCGCAAGAGCCTTCTTGAGTCACCTCAGAGATCTATCCTTTAACTCTCTCCGTTCCTCCCCTCCGCCCAAACACACACAACAGATAGAAGCAGCGCTACGGCGCCTGGCCTGGCACCACCGCAAGAGCCTTCTTGAGTCACCTCAGAGATCTATCCTTTAACTCTCTCCGTTCCTCCCCTCCGCCCAAACACACACAACAGATAGAAGCAGCGCTACGGCGCCTGGCCTGGCACCACCGCAAGAGCCTTCTTGAGTCACCTCAGAGATCTATCCTTTAACTCTCCCTCTCCAACCCAACTTCTTCCA